AATTAGATTTTCTTGGCCGTACTTATCCTCGCGCGGCTAATTATAAAAGTTTATCCGGACAGAGTCGAAACTAACACTTTCAGTGGCCACTGTTGATTGATGCCAGAGCACTTGAAATTTTCCAATTTAAATGATGGGCTCTGCGGTGGGAAAGTGCACTGGGAGCAGCTGCTCCCCTGGCTTGGAAAATTGCCCGACTGCTTACAAAACTCAGCTAAAAGTTGCTATAGAAATAACAAAATGAAAAATATAAATACTCGCTCATTTATAAGAGACACTTGGAGCGCACAGAGTGCCGCTGGGAGATCTTGGGCATTTAGACGCCATTTCCAGGGATTACCACTCTCTTATGCATCTTTAGTTTGGGCCAAAAGTTCCGCAAAACATTTCCCTTTGACTGCAACCATTTAGACAAAACTACCATCCAGCTCTCCCTCGGTATCCAAGACCTTGAACCAGACGCACAATAAAAATGAATGCCAAAAATGCCAAGAGTCCAACTGTGTGATATTTCGCAGCTTGTGCCGGCATAAAAGGAGCATAAACGGATTTTATGACCATTTTGCTCTTTTTAGGGAATGTAATCCGAATTAAGTACTGAGTAGTGAGCTGGAGTTATGGTAAATTAGACTTATTTTTTGGGTACAACAAGATGGGGAAAGCATATTTATCATAAACCATTCCCCAAAGTTTAACATTGTAGCTGCTGTTTCAGATTTGTAAATATAAAATATAGTTTTAGGATACAAAATATTTCATTGGCATAATGATATAAACAATTCAAAGCAAAATCATCAATGCTATTCAAATGAGGCAAAGTTTACTTAGCACACACTAATATTGGCATTATGGGAATATAATTATGCATTGATTTGATAATAACAAGACTAATATGTGTTGGTCATTGGCCATAAATCTTTAATGATTTCTGGTTCGACAAGTGCTTCGTGTCAACTCATTGAAGCAGACCCAAATCAATTAAATATCCATTATGCAAATAAATGTGCCGCATCCCTCCCTCATGCATATTTATGTGCCAACAAGGGAAAACCGCAGGACTAACCAAAATAGAATTTTTTGGCAGCCACAATGCCCCAGAGTAAACAACGGACGAAGTAAGGACGGGAAATGGGAGAGCTTTGCCTCGCTTTTCTGTGTCGTGATTGAGGATTTTCATATTTACTTGGGGCAGCAGCATCTACATACAAATGTACATATAGTACACATTTCGTGTGGGAAGCCGGTAAAGAGATGAAAATAAACTAACCCGAAAAATGGCGATGGGGGGGAAACAGAATTAGATGTCCATCCTGTATTCTGCCAGTGGAAAGTTAAGCCCAAACACTTCTCAATGGCACTCTGTGGATTTTGTCAGCGTCAAAAATCTGTTGCATATTCGGCCCCTGAATTATGTAAGCTATACGAGTTCAGTTTTTGGCCGTCACAGGAAGCGTGTCCATGTCACGGATTTTCCCTCAAATGTGCGGCACAAACAACAGCGAAAGCCACAGACAGTCAAACTTGAAAGCAGACCGGCTATTCATTACCGGAAATGCGTTGTTTGTGTGTGTACGTGTACGGTTGTGTCATCTCACCGGAAGAGCAACAAAGTACGGGTCACTTCCGGTATACGGAGGACAATTTGTTTGAGGATAATTGTCAATAAAGTTAATTCTATCGATTATGAAACATTTTGTGGTAACAGGATAAACTATGTGTAATTTCTTTATAATGTAAATAATATGTATCTTAAATTCTGGTATTCCATATAATAAATATATCTTTCCTACACAGTATATGGCACAAAAAGGAATTAAACCAATTAAAGGCTTTCTTTGGCCGTAAGAAACTGAATGAATCTCAAACATTTTACCACAAAGAGCTTCTCAGAGCAAAGCTAATCCAATTTGTAACTAGAAAAAACAGTTTACATTTCATTTCGAAAAAATGCTTTTGAGAGCAATATAGAGAACCAAAGCAAATGAAACAACTAGCACTGGGAATGCAATTGTAAAACAATTGAATTTTATTTGTCTTTCCTTCTTTGGCTTTCCTCTTCCCTTATACGTTTATCCCAGTTCCATCTGCAATTCAGACAATTTCAAATGGTCCAATTAAGTTCAGGTTTAATACATTTTATGCATGTTGCCCAATGAAAGCCATAGAAGCGCACATAAAATTAATAAATGTTTTGGTAATTACGCGCCGGCACTTCATTATAATTTCATTTTTCGCCCAGAGTGTCAATAAGAATTACGACATTTTGTTTACGTTGCCGCCAACATTATAAATTCATTAATGGTGAGAAATAAATTATAAAGTGCACAAAATGCACATAGTCCATTAATAATCCGATCACAGAAGTAATGCTTGGCTATAAAATAAAAACAAGCTGTCTTTAAATATTAAACCAAAAACTTGAATACATTTTAAATTAACTTATTTGCTTTACGAAGATTATTCAATTATTTATTATTTACTTTGATTAATCTTCTTAAAAGGATTTAAATTACCTTTAAAGACTGAACATCTAAGAAAATGTTTATTAATTAAATTTGCTGAATTTCTTAAGTAAATTAGTTAGATATAGAATTTGCTCAAGGTAATTAAATGTATTAAATCTGAAAACTGTTTAAGAAAAATGTATAAAATCGAGTTTTATCTGCCCGGGTCAGAGGTTATGTCCAGTGGCAGTGGCAAGTGCAACAAAGTGTTCAATAAATTATGCTCTTGCCGTTGTTTGTGCCACAAAAGAAGTGGCTCCTGCAACTGCAACGGCAACGGCAATCGATTTGTCTTAGCCGCTGCACACGTCCAACATGTCGTATGTGTAACAAGTGTAGCACATAAATTGCCAAGGTTGCGGGCACTAGCCCTGGCTGGCTGCCTGCCTGCCGAGGCGGGGCGTGGCATGCAACGTCTTGAGGCAGCCACAAAATAAATAAAATAAAAGTGAAAAGTGAAAAGTGCTGCCCGTAAAGTTTCGTGCACTTCTCGCAGATATGTTGGATTTGATTTATACGAAAACATAGCAAGTTTGTGATACCATTTATAAAGTTGCCCAAAGCAATTTGTTTGTCTGCGGTAAATCATTTATTTGCAGCTATAGGTTTTTGTTTACAAATTCAGAGCTGTGTTAGGTGGCAAGAATGTAACTTGAAATATTGAATTTATAATTTATATAGAATATATGGAAGAATAAATAAAATAACTTGCACTTTTTAAGCTAAATGTTTCCAATTCTAACAGTTTCAATCATAGCTTAGGCTTAAAAAATACTATGTTTTCCTATAGCAAATTCTATCAATACAGAAATATTATATCATATATTTATTATTCGTTATACCTGTACTAGCCTCCGGTCAAGAGCACTTAGCACCCTTCCATCTACGAATCGAATCCGGATTCGAATCCGTGTCCATATTTTCACCACTCACACTCACACAAGTTTTAGCTCGCCAACATTTCCATTTGGGTCATTGGGGATTTACTGGGCCCGAAAACTTTTCATATGCTTTTGCCAACACGAAATAAAAATAAAGGACGAAAGTTTCTGAGTGGCAGCTTAAATTTTGCAGATATTTCCGATATTTTTGTCTGGCGAACCACTTTTAAATTTTCGCCAGCATTAGCCAAATGTTTGCTGTCTGGCGAGATTGTTTGCATTTGAAATTGATTTAATCCACGGGGGCAATGACTACTCTCTGTATTTGCCCAAGGTCTCGAAGCTTGTATTACTTTGACTCAGTTTAAGTTGGCTGCTCATTAAATTTAATGAAATTTAAGGCGCTTTAAGGCTAGCCCAAAGAACGCTAATTGATTCCGCTCTCAAGCCAAACACACACACACATTTCTGAGTGCAAGGCTCAGAGGGAAATGTTCCTAAACGAATTTGGTATCTATTTGCAACATGACTGCGGGTAAAATAATGGAATTTCCGCTTCCTCTCCCCTTCCTCTCGGCGGGAAGTTTGCAGCCGGCACAAAAAGCTTGGCGAAATGCATTTCAGAGCCAGGCCCAAAAGTGTCGAAGATGCAGAAAGGCCACGGGGACTACATACTACATGCTATATATATTTATATATATATATATAGTGGCAGTAAGTCAGCCAAAATTCCAAGACATCTTGACTTTGTGTGTGGCAGTGTGTGTTTTTGTGTGTTAGCTGCAAGTAATGGGGTTTTCAAGGCTTGAATTATGTCTTGGCCAGAGAATATTTGGCTAGTTGAAAACATTTTCAAAGAGATTAAAGCCAAAGGTTATAATGTTTGATTTAAATGAGATTTTGGTGAGCAGAGTGAGGTGTGTTAAGTATTATATTTTTTTTAATGTTAATATTATTAATCTGATGAACATAATATTGCTTTATCAATAAATAATATTAAACTGCATTTGTTTTCAAGTTTATGATCTATTAATGGAGTTCAATTTAACGTATCTCATGGGATATAATTATAGATTTCATCACATGAAGTCAGCTTCACCACATGAATTTCACCACATGAAATCCTCTGATTCTACTCTATTAAATTGTATAAAATACTGTATAATAATTTATAATAATAAGCAAGACTTATTTACTATAAAACCTGTTTAAATTTTGGCTGATATAATGTAAATATTAATTTATTTATATTAACATATATGGTGCCTCTTCATTATTTCATTCCTTAGTCGACTCTTGGTTCGAAACTTCACTTAGTTTGGTTAAGAACCCATGTAGAATATTTGAAAAAGGAATCTAAGGAAGGCTACTTTTATATACCCTTTCAATTGAAAATTTGATAAGGGGGCTAAATTAAAATCAATGAAACTAAACCAAAAATGCATTGAATTCAATTTGGAAACCTTTCCTATATTCGTTTATATTAGGTTAATAAATCTTCATACTTATTTTTGCAGTTTAAAAAGTTAAATTTTTCCATTAAATTTTACCATTTATAGGGTCGGAAATGACTTCTTCACCAAAATAAATGTACATACTTGCGACCTTATCGAAATAGCTTTTAAATATTAAACCTTTATTAAACTATTTTTAAGACCCAACAAAATAAACTTCAAGTATCACCTAAGAGCTCGACGGATGACCAAGCTGAGGGTCAAGAAGAAAGCGAGAAGTAAAAGCATCATAAACATTCCCAGGACAGCCAAATCCCATTCAAAAGCATCGCCTTGCATTTGAAAGTCCTTGAGAAATTGCTCCCCCGTCTTGTAATAACAATAATTCATAGCAGCATAGCACTCCAGCTCTCCGCGATCGTATCCATAGATGGCTCTCAGCAGACCCTCGAAGACGTAGCGGAAGAAGGACACATCACAGATGGGACGCAGGAACCAGGAGAGTTCGTTTAAGCGAATGAAAAACCCAGAGAAAAGCAGAAACGGTATCGTGGCACTCGGCACCAGGAATATAGCCAGCTGCATGGAGAATAGTGATCCTGCAATCACTCCAATAAAGTGGCCAATAAATGCTGTCAGCACACAGATGACCCAGCACATGGCAAAGCGATGGAGCTCCGAAGGCTGACCCGTCATAAAGTATCCTATGCTAATGAATAACGTGGGGCAAGTGAGTTGCAAGGGCAGATCCGCCAGAACCTTGGACAGATAGTAGGCCCCCAAGGAGTACCAGCCGTTGTAGTACTCCCTGAGGAACACCGCCGAATCCTGCATGCAGAGCAGGATCGAGGGCATAGCATTGCCGGCAAATACGAACAGGATCACAAAGAAAAGGCAGGACACGTTGGACACAATTTTCTCGGCATCGGCTCCTATTTGCCAGTACACCACGCCCAGAAGCAGGGCCACCACCACGTGCATTAAGAGACGCATCTGGACGGCAAACTGGAAGGACAGGGAATGGTTAACTATCAGATTACAACTCTCTATAAGAACAAGTGCTTAGAACCCACCAAATCCCTGGACATGGACCTCAAGTGTCGAGAAAGGAGCACGCGAAGCTGGACCCAGAAGCCCACCTGCTCCTTGCCGCGCAGGTGAGCAAATCACAGGATTCCCGGTGGAAATTAATAAGCGCTGCTGGAAGGAAATTAGAACAGGCAAAGAGAGAGCGAAAGATAGAGCAGGAGAAGGAGAAGTGCAGTAAAGGAGGAAAATAATACAAAAGTGCAGAGCGGAAATTGGTTCTGTATGAGACAAAGCATCCTTGGCATCATCCTGGCAAATTCCACTTACTCTCTTCATCGACCTGGAGCTTCACCACGTTGCTGGTGTTGCAGTGGTACTCCTTATTTTGAGTAATCAACGATTCACAACGCTCAACGCTGGAGGACTGACTGCACACTTCAAGGGCTGCAAGTAAATATATTTAAGATTAACATTTATAATAAAGATAAGTTGCACATTATTCTTACCAAAATCTGCTGGATTATAGTACTGTGGACAGACGAAACCGGAACTGGCAAAGCTATTCAACATTTCCCGCTGCTCGCCGGCATAAAGGACCTCGCCGTGGGCCAGGACCACGACATCATCGAACAACTGAAAGAGTCGCGATCCTGGTTGGTGAACCACACACACTACTATCCTCCGTCATGGGCTAGTCGCTGCAGGTGGCAGATCACCTGGTAACTGGCCACACAATCCAGTCCACTCGTTGGCTCATCAAAGAACATAATGGGTGGATTCGTCACCAGCTCAATTCCAATGGAAAGCCGCTTGTGCTCGCCCCCAGATAAACTCTTCACCAAGGTCCGACGACAGGATTGTAACTGCAGAATGTCCACAATTTCATCTATCTGGGAATTATTGCATTAGTTTTAATTATATTTTTGTGAAATAAATATATTTTCTACTCACAATTCTTTGCTTTTCTTGGGATGGCGTGGAGCTGGGCATCTTTAAATTAACTGAGATACGCAGGGTCTCTTCGACAGTTAGAAGGTTTAGCATCACAAAGTCCTGGGCAATATAGGCGGACATTTTCCGAAATGTCGACATATCCCGGGGACGTCCATTTAAAAGGATCTGTCCTGAAACGCCTCGAAGTCTGGAAGGATCATAAATTTGTTTTTGAAATAGGAATTTGGAATTTGATTAAAAAATGTTCTGCTGAATGTCTGAAAGTATGCAGTAAATCATATTTTGGCCTATCACAATTTATTTTACTTTAAGCAGATAACAGAGATAACATACAGTAGTTATAGCTCATTGGTAGGTACATTTATAATTAAGCTTAAAGAGTCAACAATACTCACTTAAAACCGGCAAGAGCATTTAGCAGCGTGGATTTCCCAGCTCCCGAGGGCCCAAAATCGCAGTCAGTCGTCCGATTTGAAGACACCGGTAGCCTCGTTAAGTATTTGGCCAGAGCCCTTTATCGATCCACTTAGGCTGTAGCTAACCTGGCTAAAATGCAACTCCAGAGCTTGCTGCTTCGAGATCAAGCCATTTGCTGCCTTTGTACTCCGTTATCGGCCATTGGATGGGTGGCGGGTGGTGATTGTTTACGATCCAAAATAGCCGAACAACCGAACATTAAGCCGGTCAACAAACCAGTGAAGTGAACTGGCAATGGCCCCAACTCTTATTAAGTGCACAGGGAATCGCGCATATCGGAGCATTCACTTATCGTTGGAATGACCGCTTGAGGAGATGGCGGATAATCTTATCGCTTAAGGTGTTACTGGATCGGATCAAGGTCGTTCAATCCAACCGAACATGTTGCACTGCAACTCTCGCAAATTTACTATAGTAACAAACTATATACATATAGTGCAAAAAAAATGCTAGTGCGACGCGGGATCTTGTCCGAGGTCAGTCTATAAGATTATGGGAAGAACAGGCATTAGTTTAATCGTATCAGTTGGGAATGTTGATTACTGACTGATAACAAACTAGAAGCATGTAATTTAAAATAACTAGAGAATCACTAGTTAAGGCACTTATATATTGTTTATTCGGTATTCCTCTTGCGATTAACCCTTTTCAACTTTCGCCTAAAAGTCAGCATTAACTTTCTAGATTTTCTTTAGATAGTGAAATTATTAATTGACCACGAATACTGTGTAATAGATACATTTTGTTTGCAGCTTTAAACAATGAACTCTGATGGCACACACCCATTTATATAGCTTTTAAATATATAATACAAACTGCGTAATACATGGAAGTTGGACATTATAATGGAGATTATTCATTTCAATGCCAGAAAGCTGTTGCTTATCACTAGCTGCTATTTATAATACTATTTTGCACCAGCTGCAGTTTTGTGTTTGCTAAAACATAAAACTAATTTCTGAACTTATACACAAGTAATTTTCACGGAAAACTGGTTTTAACAACAGACATTAGGATTGATTTAATGCAAGTCGGGTTCGCGTGTCGTTCGATCCCATCATATTTGCATTTAAGGTTTATTATTATTGAAAGTGGTAAACGTACGCATAAATTGATTTTGTATGACACTTGGCCGGACCGTTTTGTTTACTTTTATTTTTTATCGCCTCCTTCAATTAAGATTTGGAGTTATGAGCACATTAACCGAGCGACAGTGAGAGATTTCCGTTCATATTCCGTTGATATTCCGAGCGCGACTGACCGATTTCAATTGAAAGCCGGCTGTAGTTATAAATCGTAATTGATCTGCATCCTCAGCTGGCAACAAGTTTGAGTTGCAGCCGAGCTGCAAATGTGAGCAACATTTTGTAGCATACTTCTGAGCTACTTTTTGAAAACAAACCAGATTCAGTTTACTTAATCAATTGGGTAGTTTTTGGAATTGAATTGCATTAAATATTATTATTTAAATATTAAAATGAGAATGCAGATTTATTACCATAAAACCTAACATAGGACAGCTTTTTAAATTAAAATTAATGCCTTTTTGTCTGAGCTATGAACAATTTTCCCTGAAAGGGTATTTAAATTTCGGGTTTTCAAGCTAGCAATAATAATAATTGCATTGAAATCGTTTAATGACTGGTGTTAATAAACTAATTTGTTATTATAATTGGTTATTTGTTTACGTCTCAGTTTTTATCCCATTCCATCTATTGTTTTTCATAGAATAATGTTTGCATCTATGTGAGAATGTTTGTGTTAATTAGAAAAATGTTATAGTATTTTTGTTTACATCAAAGGTAACTTGGAATTTATGTAACTATTATAGTTATTTAGAATCAAATCACAAATACAATCACATAATGTATGTTAATATCTGTTTACATTTAGTAAAAAATTCAACTTTAATTCAAGTTCTTTAGATTTAAATATCACCACAGTAAAACACCAATTTACATTTAATTTTCACCTTAGGGAATTGCTTAAGCGAATATGTAACTTACTACTTAGCGACTCGAGTCAAAACAATAACTAATTTAGTTTGTCTTAAACTTGACTCCGATGTCCGAGCCGAATTTAAGTAATAAACCATAATTAGATAAACTTGTTGACATTAAAAGAGGTAATGAGATGAAAATAAGTGCAATAAGCTTAACCTTGCACTTGAAATGCAGTGGAGAGCAAAGAGAAATCCATTGCACTGATACCTTGAAAGAGCTAACAGTGTTCTCTCTCACGATTGCTGCTAACATGGTCTACCAATGAGATCCCTGTTAGTTAACAGTATCTACATGATCTGTAGAATTTCTTTTACATAGATGGATGAACTACAAGATACATCAGTATCTGTAATCAATATTAAATATATGGAAAACTTTAATAAACCATTAAAAATACCGTATAAGTTACATGAAAGAATCTTTTTTTTTAATAATATTTTCAAAGTCATACTCGCAGCCGAAGCCTTAAAATCAGGCTTTTGTTACAACTAGTCAATAAATCGGTCATTAATACAATAGAAAAATACATTTCTTTATGCTATGCTAATAAAGTGGTCTATTTACAGTTCTTGTGTGTATGTATGTTCTAGAATATGTGGGTGTGTTCTATTATCCTTTGTTTCAGTTATATATCACGATTTCCTTACGCTCTATAGGCTTCTCCAATCTTTGGCACAAAAGTTCCTCTTGTATAAATGCTTAAACAAGAAATCATAAATATAAAAACAAATATTTCCCAGACGACGGAATGTGGCATGTTTTCCGTTTTTCATTTTTCTGCCTCATCTGAACAATCGGAGCCGGAAGGACATTATGTAGAAGGCTAAAATACGCAGGAAGATGAAAATTCCAAACAGAAATATGAGAGCCAAGTTGTAGTTCCCGTCGGCCATGTCCAGGTTCTTAAGTATATACTTGGGCACCACCAGGTGACAGTACATCTCCTGGCAATCCAGACGCTCACGGTCATACCCAAAAATGGCCATCATGCATCCCTCCAGACTGTACTTTAAGAACGATATGTCGAACATCCAACGCATATAGATGGGGGCATCCTTTTCCATCAGAAAGAACCCACTGAACTGGAGGAACGGGCAGATGAAGAAGGGTCCCAGGATACAGCCAAGCTTAAGGCTCAGAGCCGCTCCCACTGCCAGTCCGATGCTCTGTGATACGAGAGCCGTAATGAACACAATCAGGAAGAAGAGTCCAAATCGCCAGAGTTCCATGGGCTGCTGGGTCATCAGGTAAGTGGGTATTATGAACAGGGCACTGCAGATGATTTGAATGGGCAGATCGGCCAAAGTGATGGCCACGTAATATGCCCGCAGGGAGTACCAGCGATTGAAGTGTTCCCTCGACACAATGGGGAACTCCAAGGGAACTGAAGATAACAATTACTATATAACAATATAACAATATCTAAGTTAAGGTAGATTGACTTACACTTTACAAGAATCCCAGAGAACGCACAGTACATCACAAACATGATGGTGTAGAAGATGTACCGAAAGATATTCAGCGTCTGGGCTCCATCGTTGCCAATCCCAAAGTATAGGGTACCAATTAGCAGTCCCGTGATCAGATGAATGGCAAACCGCATTGTGGTGAGTGAACTATCACGCCAAATTAAGAGGAAGGTTCTTAATAGCAGGATGCTTAGCTGACGATAGAAGGGCGTGGCGTAGATATTCTCTCGATTGCAGAGATGTGATGGATCCAATTCCAACGCCGGCTTCGGTTTCTTCTTTTTCTTTGGCTTGCAGCAGCTTCCGGTGACCTTGGCTCCGACATCACTGCTGCCAATACCCGCCGTCTGGCTATCCCACACCCGCGAAGACAGCTCATTGATCGGAGTCAGAGGCTTAAAGCTATTGCCTTGAAGGAAGTGCTGTGGCACTGATGAGGTCATTACAGGGGCTGTGACCGGTGTAATTATGCCAGCGGCCATTAGTTGATCTGAAAACCATGGTATGTTACTTATTTAACAATATTGTTTTAAGATTTGTCTACTATTCTTACCAACTTTCTTCATGGCTGCCAATTGAGCCACTCTGGCACTCTTGTTCTGCCTGTAATCCTCATTACGGCCGCTATCCATTAAAGCTACCATCTTATCCACTTGATTGTCATCCACCGTATCGTAGTCATGCGTAGCGATTTCCATTACTAAAAGCAATATTAAATTAAATTCGTATTAAATGTAATAAACTCTTCGAAACTCACAGTAATCCGCTGGATTGTAGGACTCCGGGCAGTGTAGATTGAGGGCGCCCAGGAAGGGCAGTAAGTTCTGCGATCCACCTGAGTAGATGCACTGGCCCTCGGCAATGGCATACAGGTGATCGAACATGGCAAATGTCAGGGCGCTGGGCTGATGGATTGTGCAGATGACAGTGCGGCCCTCCAGGGCAAGTTTCTTGAGCAGATTTATCAGCTGATTGGAGGTGGAACTATCTAACCCCTACAAAGAAACAAATAATTATAATAAATCTAAAATTGCTCCAATATTTTAGTTTTCTTACGTGGTTGGTTCGTCTAGAATTAGTACTGGGGGATTGTTAACCAGCTCCAGGGCAATAGCTAAACGTTTCTTCTGACCTCCGCTTAGTTTGCCAGTCATTGTATATCGGTTTTCATACATCCCGATGGCCTCCAGGATGCTCTTAACCCGCTCCCGCTTTTCGCTGTGCGTCATGTGTATGCCGATCTTCAGATTGGCCGCAAAGTGCATGGCCTCCTTGACGGAGAGAAAGGCCTGAAGACTTGTGTCCTGGCGGATAAAGGCCACGTTCGGCTTAAAGGCTTTCAGGTCTCTTCGGTTGCCGTTGACACTGAAGTCACCCGAATAGCCAAATGTTCTGGAATATAAGATTATATAGGAATAAAGGGAAACCAGGATGAAGTTCAAGATTGCCTTACGTGTATCCTGAGAGGATATTGAGCAGGGTACTCTTGCCAGCTCCCGAAGGTCCAACGATAGCACTCAGCTCTCCAGACTTAAAGTAACCCGTAACACCCATTAGGACATCTTTGGTTTCTGTAATGGTTTCAAATTCATACATTAATTACAGACAATCAAGACATTCTTATAAAATGGTAACTATGGCGACAGTTAATGTTTAGTTATCAAGAAAGTCTCAAGAGGTCACACTACACATTTATTGGCAGGGCTTAATGATAATAAATCCAGTTAGGTAAAGTTCCTTAATCAAAGGTAGTCTTGGTTTTTCAAGAAATACTACTAAATTTGATTATTCACAGACTAGGTTATCATACATATTAAATCATGCATAAATATGAGGTTATTTCAATTTTTACTTCTACCCTTAAAAGGTATTTTAGTTATAGTTAAAACACAATAAGGAGTCAGTCCCGACCCCATAAAGCATATATATTCTTGATCAGCATCAAAAACTGAGTCCATCTAGCCATAAAACTCAGTATGCAGATTTGTTAACAATATAAAAACTAACACAGAACTGCTTTTTGAATTGAAATGAATGCTTTTTTTTGGCTACGTTATGATATTTGAAAAACTCTATGATTTGAAAACCCAATAAATTAGCATATCAAAATATCCAAATAATGTTCCTGGAATACACATATTTTCGTTTTTTTTTGGGGGTATAAAATAGTTAAGACTGATTGTACATTCAAAATCATGATCGTATGGCTAACTGTAAGGGTATAAAAACGTTGGCTTCCTGAAGTTAGCTTCCTTTCTTATAGAGATTAATTTATTCTTATATATATTAAGGGGTATTTATTTATAGGTCCTTAATCAAATCTTGAATATTTATTTGCCATAAACCTAAACCGAAATAAGAAACACATTTATTGTAAGCATTACAATTAAAAAGGTCATTTCATTAATGAATTCCATTAAATGATTTGTTCATAGTTTTATTTGCAATTTGAGTGATAATTGCAGGGTGTCCCACATTCTCACATTGAACCAGCTCTCCGGTGATAAGCGAATCCCATTTCCCGCGATTAAAGCCTATCGCCCATGCACGCTTTTCATTGTAGTCCCCATTTGGATGATAGTGCCATAAAGAACCTTAGCTTTAGTTTACCAATAGATTGGATTGCCTTATATGTAAGGGTGGGTTCGATTTCTTGGCATACATTGTAGTGAAGCATGCTGAATGCCATACTGCCCGCTCGTTAATCTGTCGATTAGCCATGGCTACCGGCCAATTTAGATTTCAGGGGTCTGTTTGAACACTTATCAATCACTCCGTTGTCGAATCTTATCGCTGTGCGAACTCTATGACTAAAATGTTGTTAAAGTGCCTTTACGTCTTTTTATTTTTAATGCCCGTCGGCCAGATGTCGTACCAAAGCCACCAACGAGTCAACAGGTGTGTACAGCGAGCAATTTTATTGCATTCGCATTAGTGGAGTTGTGGACGCCTTGCTTATCAAGGTTCTGCGATGACCCTGTACTTGGTAATGCATTTTTGCTACAAGGGGATTATGAGTAGTTAAAAACCGGGAATAGTGCAACGAACACCTGCGCTTTTATAACTTTATTCCTCTTTCCTATGTTTGTTATGTAAAAAAACCTTTAGCAAACTATGTACTATTAGGAAAAACTCTTTACATTTCAAAGAAAAACGTTTAGAAATTTGACAATTTTTGGTATGGCGAAGGTCAATTAAGGGTAAAGTTATTAAAACGATTTCATTATCAAATTGATTGGTAGGTGCGTTTGCAATTAATTGTTAAATGCATTAAACCTTATCTTTATGTTATGTTTATGGGCAATAATATTTGAAAACGATTTTTAGCTTTGCTTTTAACTATTTCTATTAATAATTATTGTTCTCTTGCAACTATTTTCAAACCACAAACATCTTAATATTATATAGTAATTAAACACTCTATGATTTTATTAATTAAAAGCTTCTAAAAGTCGTAGACACGCACTAGCCTGGCATATATTTCCGCTCAATCTAAACATTTCACATTAAATCGTACCGGAAACAGTCCTCAACAATTACATCTGGAGCGTGCTTAATAGAAAAGAGGAAGCTCAATCTCTCAAATCACCTGACTCATCTCAAAAGTCGGCTTCAAAGTCGGACTCTTAACTACATCTATATATATATTCTTTATAGTTTAAAGCGTTAAAAAAAAGAAATTCGTTTAAATATAATGACAACACACGCGAGAAACAACGAGAAATCAAATGGAACATAGAACTGATATTTCAATTAATAGAACTTAAGTGACATCAATTAAAACGTTTTCGTCTTTCTCATAAAGCCAAGAAATGTGCATTATTATGTTTATTCGGAATGCTTTCGTATCTTCTACATTTGGTGTTTTATTGTGCGTATCTATCTAGGACACCTATGGTTAATTATCTTTTATTTATTGTCCCCAATGTCATAATAATAATAAAAGTAATAATATTTATCACATGTCCGACATGTGTCGTAATCAGAGCCATAATCTTACGTGTGTACATGTATCCATGTACGATATACACATATCGATTTGCTTTCGCTGGCCTCTGATTTCTATTCATCTAGAAAAGAAATAAATAATAAATCAATGGTAAAGAATTCATGTATGTTTTTACTTTTCATTATCATTGCCTAGCTGGGTAGGTAAGTTAAGTTGATAAAGGTAGCTCGTAGATATGGAACACGAGTAGTTTTGTACCAAATTTGTGCTAGGCTTTGTTGTCGAAGTACTACAAGTGGACTTGGTGTTCCGTATAGTAACTCAAGGACTGAACAATATTCAGCGATTAGTGTTATGTAAGATATAAGGAGTATTGGGTAAATATGCAGAAAATTATTCAAAGGATCGCTTATTACTTTATAAGTACTGAATAATTACTGAGCACAGCCGTCTTGTTTTATTTACCACAAACAAGGGCTATTAATTAAGGTATTCATCGGAATCACCCCTTGGTAATATTGCCTATGATTTATCGTGTACGTAATCAGCGTTCGGCACGTGCCATAATTTCTATCAGGATCATAATCAGAAACTTAAATGAGTCAGACCATGAGTCACCAGGGATACTTTGAGGGGGCCACCTGTTCACTCAAATATCTATTTGGGAAAGCCTGCCGCCTATCTATCTATCAGGTCTGGTGCAAAGTGAGTCACTGAATATGGTTTTGACCCAAACACATTATATTCCCTACTCGTATCCACTATAAGCGGGAGTATTCACAAGAAGTAACAAGTAATTGCGATTGCGTAGTTAATGTTCATGTTGTAAGCGGCCCTTCTTATCATTGGCATTGTAACTGTGGGATCGGCAATTGTAAACAAACAATAAAGCTGGAACAGTCGGCGATATGCAAATAGGTTCCGTATGTTATACTATTTAGATAAAAAGACCACTGACCCTCATATTTAGCCCTGACCATGCAACTACACTTCTTTCCTTTCTGCGTGTGCACAAGTTTAATTCAATTGAAGGGGCTCTTTGAACCCAATGATTTCTTCAATCAACCGCTTGTCAATATGGCAAATTGAAACTGAGCCAGTTGTTACATATAATAATAAAAAATTTAACTTATATATATAGACAAAGCCATCACAACTGATAAATTTCCATTGTGTGTTTCGCTTGACGGACTTTAAACAATATTTAAATCTAAAACCTGAAGTGTGCCCACGCGCTGATAATATTAGGTTAACATTTTAAAGATTAGAACAAATTCGGAGATTTAACGACTCTATCTGGAGGGTAATGAGCCGAAACCGTGTCAGATATCAGTGCGCCTGATTCAGATAATTGTAGGACTATTTATTTTATAATGGTTTCATTAAAAACCCATTTATTGGCGGCCCATACAAAAGACTCATTTATGTTGAACTGAACTGGTTAACTTTAATTGAGTTTACGGGACATACTCATATATATATTCAGACTGTCAACCCTTAATTATAATGACCACCAATGCGTGTCTGGGACCAAGCTGGCAATTATATGACCCTGAGGCGAATACTCTTCTGACATTAGCTTTTGTTTTTGCAATCTATATAAAGAGTATATGCTTTATATGTGTACATATATATTCCGCAAATTTTTAAAGTGTGAAAATAAAGAGAATATAAAAACCACGCCATGTAAACTACAAGATTGTTTTCTCTTTCAACAAACAAGGTGTGATTTTTAGGAATCATCTGTTGGTTATACTACATACTATATAATGTAATAAAGATATTTGAATTAGACAGCAGACTCAAAATTTAAAATATATTTGGTTTTAAAAAGTCTGAAGAATGTGTTATTTTTGACCATAAAGAATTTCGCCCATTAAAAACACATTTTGGAATATTCCCACTTCAAATAATGTGTGAAATAAAAGTGAAGCCTTATAATTTACAGGTGTTAATTCCAAAGAATGATCTTGGAAATAGGAAATACTTTTTACCAAATAACCTATGAACTTACCTCTCTTGAAGACTCCAAATTTGGTGGTATATCGTATGTTCTCGAACCCAATGTTGATCTTCTTGATGGTTTTGTACTGTTCATGGGGGAAGATGGATCCTCCGCTGGTGCTGGTGGTTGTAGTGCTGGCACTGTGCTGCGTCTCCTCGCTCTGGTGGCTCTGGTGGCTAGCCTGGCTCTTTTGGCTGTGTCCCGCCGGCGAGGAGAATGGGGTTGCCCCGCCCATGGGTGTGCCGTAGATGGAGGAGGAACCGGCGGATAGAACCGTATTTTCCGTCTCGGCCAGCGGAGCATCATGCGATTTGGACTTGGACTTGGTGCCGCCGATGTGCAAGGTCAGGTGGGGCGGTCGCTTGGAGGACAACTTCTTGGCAGGCACGGGCGTTGTGGGGCGTGGTAGTCCAGACACAGATCCCCGGGATGGTATGTTTGACTCCGAGTTCGCCTTGAGGTTGCTCAGGCGAATGACATCACTGCCGCCGGTCACGTTCGGCGACACCGCGCTGGCCAAACTCCAACTGGACATGGTTTCGGGATTCACACGTTATATTCGGCTTGTATATATTTGTATATTTTGTATATTTTGATAACACTTTTGATCTTTCGGCTGGGGCTTGGGGTTACAACCTTAACCCGCTTTGATTTCACTTTTATCGCTCGCTCTTTTCAGTCTGCCCGCTCCAACATTTTACGCTCATTTAATTTGCTCTTTCCGCTCGGTTCGTCTTAGGCCTGCTTTTTTATTGTTGGTAATTTTTTTAAGGCGCGTCAACAATTAGAATAAATAATATTTGTTTCGCGAAAAGTGTGAGTGTGTGCGTGTCAGCTGCTCATTTGAATTTAATTTTCGCTCATCACGACCGCTTGTGTTGTGTGAGAGAGTTCATTCGCCCAAGAGAGTGGGGCAACGAGGGGGCGTCTTGGGGGCAACGAAGGGGCTTCGAGAGACCGGCAGACAACCTATTTAATAAAAAGTCGAACTGGGCGGGGCGGGGCGGGGCTGGGACTGGGGATAGGGCCTGCTCGCCTGTTGCTAATCGGACCATGCCTCCAAAAACTAGAATAGCGCACCAACACACATGATATGGCGTCCATGTAAATCGGACGAGAGAGCATGCGAGAACGAGAGCGGGCATAAACAATGTTTGTTGTTGCTACTGCTGCTGCTCGTGTTGGCCCCACAGAGAGCGTGAACTGGGGAGATGCACAGAACAGACTCCGGTGCTTGGAGCATGCGGTAGCCGCGGGGGAGGAAAGAACATGACAGACGTGTGCGCTACAATTAATAATCTGCCTTGTGGCTACAGCCTATCATCTTGAATGTTTTCTCTCGTCTCATAATGATTTAATCAAGATTATATTTGTCGTATAACGAAAATTATCGGTAGCAGAAACTTTTGAATAATAATATAGTGAATTTTTGAATAATAATATAGTTTTTGAATCAAAAAAATATATAAACTTCTTAAACTTCTTCTTGTGTTAATGTTCTAAAAACAGTGAATTATTGACACGAATTATATAGATTAACAATTTTAAAAATGATTTTTCACTTGTGACTTTCTTTTGACTACAACCAATATGCCCAGATTTTTGATTTTGTTGTGTAGGGTACGCGAAATGCACTCAAAGCTTCTTCTTTATGATGCAAATACACATTTTCTTATATTTAGCACGTTCTCTCTACGCTCTCTCGCCTTTGTTTTGAATTTATAATAATTGAGACGCACTTTTAATTGTTCTTAGTCTCTTTTTAGCTTGATTAATTCGTCTCCAAAACTAGTGAAGCAGGTGAGAAAAACGACACCGCTCTTCGACCAGCTGATATTTTCTTTATGTGTATATGTGTTGGCCTAGCCGTCGACTTATTGGCCCCTCTGTCATTCCAACGTCTTTCGCGATTGGCAGAATTGTTTTTGCTGTTGCTAGTTTCGCTATAGGCTCACCTACTAAGTATTTAGTATGTAGTTCTCACTAAAAAGTATATCAAATTCTAAGGCTTTTCAATGTTGTTTTTGTTCTTGCCTTTGCGGCTTATCACTGTGCATGTGAGCGGGGCGGAAAAGAGAGAGGGGCCGATAGGACAAAGGCTAAACCCCATGCTGTTGTGGTTGTTGCTGTTCCCAGTGCAATGTAAGCCACAAAAAATATTGAGTTCGATTGGTGAAAAATATGTGATTATCACGGTGTTACTACAACTGATAAGCGAAGTGCAGCTAGCACACACGCACACACACACACTCGAGCACACACGCACAGAGTGTACAATTAACTGTTGAACATTACCGCGCGTAATTATATAGAGGGATATATCGTTTACAGAACCGAAGAGCTACGCGATCTTTAGCGGCCGTTGGCGCGGCATGAAATGAATTGAGGAAAGTTGAAAAATATGAACCAAGCTGATTAGCCCCCACTCTCCCTCGCTGCTGTCTGCGAGAGAGATAGCGAGAAATAGAAGAGAGAGAGAGCGCATAGCGCGAGAGAGCTTGAGCTATCAGCTGTCTTTTGCTAACCCCCGAAACACAGGGCCTGAGGTTTCTGGGGTTCTGTTTATGCTTTTGTCGTCGTCTTCTCTTCGGCGCAAGGGTGTTTTTATATTTACTTGAAATATATTTTGGGCTGCTCTTTTCCTAGTATTTTTTAGGGGAAGGTTTTTCCGGCACAACTCCTTTGTTTCGGTCTTCACTCCTTTGTTCCAATACGAATTCCCAATTTGCAGCCAAACAAAGGAGATGAAAAACCAGTCAAACCAGTTTTCGTGACAATCGTCAAACTTGCAACCAACTAGGGAACTTCAATCAAAGGAAATCATGGATTTATGAATAAAATGTGTGTTATTTGTAAGTCATTTTCAAATTTTTTATTATTTATATTGAATGTATTGAATTTGTTCTTTGAGCGACGTATACTTAATATTTGAATTAAAACGCTTCTCTTTTTAGCCATCTGGCGACATTGCCAGTATCAAATGCGTTAAGACTTTTTTGGTTCCATTGAAAAGCTCACAGCATTGCCAGCTTATATTTTTGTTCGTTTGCTGGCGGTAAAATTTGAACTGTATATTTTTTAAATTTTTGTCTGCCTTTGCAAAATTAATTGTAACTACTTATTTTAATTTAAATAAATTATCAAACGGTTTTTATTTTAGATAATTAATAGTAAGCTGTTTCTAGCTTACAAGTTTCATGGCGGAACGCATATATTTAATAACAAGAATGCAAGCTAGCTTCGATCACAACATAGCCAAAAATGCTCTAAATTCATTTTGGAAAACTTTTCTATGCTAGTTTTTATAGGCCTGAGTTTTTAAATGAATCTCTTATCAACCAATTTAAAATCCAATCTACAGATTGGGAACTATATTTTCTGATTGTCTATTTAATGTTAAAGTATTAATATTCAAAATATATGCAATAATTAATTAATTCATATCCAACTGGCGGTGACTGTCCCATTGACTGAGCTTTAGCCACCCCTCCAATGGAGAGTGGAGCATAGCTTTTGCGTAAAAGCTCCCCCAAAGTGCTGAAGCAACACTTGGCAGTTAACAATTGTTATCATTCCGGCACCAACGCTTGTTGCTTCAACGTGTCTCGGTCACCGTGTCGGCTACGTAATATTTCCCGAAGAGCATTCCGAACCGAATCGTTACATCGCCGGCCATATTTATTACCAATTTTTTGGCGCGATTCGCGAATTTAAACGTAATTGTGTAATGAATTCCAAGAGGATTCACTTCATTAAGCAGTAATTTAGAGGATAACGGCTGTGTAATCTGAATAAAATTGGAAATATGGCACAGTAAATGCTTACCCAACAAAGGGAAATTGTGTTTAAATCAGTTAACAGGAAGTGAAAAGTGAAAAGCGAGTTGAATACAGCAGCTAGCAGAAATAAAATTGAATGAAAATCAAAAATCAGTGAAAGAAATCAACAAGGGCAACAACATCAACAACAATACGTAAACAAAATAACAAATATTATACAGAATTTATCTGAATGAAAGTGTAAGTGAGCAAACGGATATTCAATTTATTTATTTTTGAGCATCCCGAAATAAGTGCTGATTGCTGTGGAAACTATATCCATTCGATATTTGTTTAAATTAATATAACTTCGAAGTGTGAATGTTTACTGTTGCGTGGATGAGCAAAACAAATAGCCAAAAGTGTTGAGTGTAAACAAAATTTTTGAAAATGATTGCGTCCAACGCCATCGGTTGAAAAGTCAACAAAACGGCAGCTATCACAAAGAACCGTCCATGGTGAGTCTAGAATAAAAGTATCTCTTGTGTATCTTCGGGGCTTGAGCCTGCCGCTTGAGGCTTCGAAAAGTTATTGATTAGATAACGATGATGTGCCCCGTGTTCGACTTTTTACGGGGGGATATGTGTACCTATGGAATTCTCAGAATTCCCAAATAATTTCTCTTGTTCGGTGCATTATTTTTATCGTTGGTGAATAATACGACCTGATTGATGATCGGTTCAATTGCCGCACGCACTGCGCAATTGATATTCCAGTTGACTTCGATCAATCTGATGTCTTCTCCTCACCCAGGTAATTGCCACGGCTCACGCCCACTTTTGGGTCACACTCTCTGGTCTATATAAAGATATATGTATGTATCTGAAGAGAAGGAGAACAGCACCCCTTCGTTGGGTTATTTCAATTTTTTTATTAGATTGTGCCACGGTTATTTTATTTTTCCTACTTTTGGCTGCCAGCCTTTTTCGGTTTTCGGTTCGTCAGCGACCACTTTAAATGATAAGCAAAGTGTCGCCATTTTTACCCTGCTTTCGTGATTGTGCCTCGTATATATACTGCTGTATATATATTTTGTCAGTTTAGTGACTCCACTAATTATCGAACTAAAAATTATCACACACTTTTTGCATGGCCACCACCACCTCCTCGAGTTCCCCCCATCATGGCTTTTTATTACAGCTTAAAGGCATGTTATTTATTATTGAGAGAGCAAACCAAAAAAGCAATGCCGGTTCGTTGGAATCAGTATATATATTTTTGTATATATATATATAGCAGCCTGCACATGATTAAGTAGCCCCATTTAATCTACTTAAACACGCGCTACAATTGATAAATATTTTTAGCCAAGAGCGAATTGAAAAGGTACCGCAGGGATTCAAAAAGTCTCTGGTTAATTTCAAGTAAAAAGAACGTCTCCTTGAGCACTTAAATTCATTTCATTATATTATATAAATTCTATGATAAATAATCTTCTTCAATGAATATCATTGCATGATTTCATTTCTTTCGTTTTTTCTCGTATACATTTAATTGGAAATAAGTTTTTCTCTCTCAAAGAAAAGCCCTTTACGAACACTCAATTAACTTGACATAACTGACAACAATTTTCTGTTTGCAAATAAAAAAAAATAATCCTCCTGCTTTTCAGAGTTTTTCACACATTTATTTTACATAAAAAAGATGTATTTGGGTCTACAATTTTTTATTGGTAATATTCAGCCAACGATAAATGGCATTTTTGTGCTCTATATAAGGTGTGTGTATGAATTTTTTTCTAACATTCCATGATAAATAAAAACTCCAAATTCGCACAGATGTTTACTAGACGTCATACTTCTGGGCGCTCTATCTTTTTTTTTGTTATTGTCAAGTTGTATTATATTTTGTACTGTATTTTCTGCACTATCTAACGAATACATATACATAAATGAATGTATACAATGGCGACCGTGGTAGTATCTCATCAATTATTTCACGAGTTGAATAGACATTGGAGAGCTTTAAAAGGCTGCCGCGAAACAGTCCACGGACTATCACATATACACAGGAACTGAATACAGAAGTATAAATACTTAAAGAGCCTTTCAGCCTTATGCCAGTTTTCACTTTAAAAGCCACTGAATATTTTAGTGCATATTATTATTTCTAGTTCAGAGTTGCTTAAGGCTTAACCTTACATTTAATGTGGTATTCTATAAGGTTAAAGATCTCCTGAGTGCCCCCCCCCTAGAATTTCTTATAAATATTTAAAAACGGGAGTATATATGTTAATTTTAATTATTTTGTTTGTTTCTTTTTCAGAAGTAAATAAGCAATAGTATTTACAATCTTAAAAATAAAAAAAAAACAAATGTTTCCGTTTTACCTTTAGGTTTTTATTTACTTTACTTCACAAAGAAAAACAACCTCATATATATTTAAATATTTAGATAAAAGGTATTGTTAATATTAAAGATAGGCAAACAAAAAGGTATTAATAAGTAAATGCCCTTTAGGATGCCATTTGAAAAACTTAGATTTACCCAAAAAATATAAAAAATATATTTCTTTCTTGTTCAATATCAAATATAATTAATTAATATCAATCAAAAATAATTAAATTTTTTTTATAATAAAAAATGCTTTGTGGACTCTGACCAATCGATTTATTTTCCAACAGTTAATAGGTATTAGGGGCCCGACTTCGACCTCATCATTGACTACTGACCATATTTTAATTGGTTATGGTTTATTGCTGATATTGCAATTAGGGGAATGTCCAAATTTGACAACACATACATATCCATGGTCATATATACTCTATATATTTATAGCTGAGCAACATTCATCCTCAGAGTAAAGTCCATTTGAACACTTGAAATTGCTTTGGCTTTTGTTGGCTTTTGCTTATCATCCAAAAGTCTACTACGAAAATAACCAATGGAAATACCTACATTAATAAATCGTTATATTCAGAAGACGATTCTAAATATCTAAAAGCACTAAAAGTCAAACACTTTCATATGATGATGGCAAAATAAATGCGGCCTACTAAAAAGTTTGGCCTCAGCAACAGACAATGGTTGGCAAAAGTTGTGTGTTCTTTTTCCCATCGAATTTGGCAAACCAAAACAATTAGTTCAAGTTGCCGTGAAATGGAAAACAAATTGAACTTATCAATAAATCGAGTATGTGCGATAACGATTAGAAAAGTGGCCGTACAATGACGCGACTGAATTCAACGCCAAAAAAATACCCATAAGCCACAAATTTCGACTCACATTTGGTGGTACAAAAATAAAAAAGGCGAAAAGAGTTGGCGGCATTGAATGTGGCCCCCAGTTTTTTTAGAACAGTATAGATAAGGTCCTAAAGTCGTTGCTCCTGTTTGCTTTGCTAAGTTTTTACCTCAAAGAGTTTGACAAAATTATATATAAACTTTGAAAACGTATTATGAAAGATATTTCGCTTACTATAAGTTTTGATTAATAGGGAAAGATTTGTATAAAAAATCAACTTTAAATCGTAAACACTCAATTAGTAAACTCAACTCAAAAGTTCTTAACCAATTTCATTGGCATTTGGCTGATTTAACGTTTGTTTGCTGGCATTGGCATTTAGTTGGCAACGCCTGACACTTGTGGAAAATTATCAGTTGATTAAAACACAAGCATTTAATTTATGAGTAGCCATCGTCTTGGTCTGGCCCTCCCACCTGGTTAGGGGCTGCCTCACCTGCCGGGCTTAATGTGTCAGGCGGTCAGACAGAGTCGAAAGGCGACGCACCTACCTCACGCTAAAAGGCTGAAGCTATCAGTTAGTATTAACTTAAGGCGCCTAATATCTGGAAATTCAACGCTTATTTTATTGATTGCAATGTTCTTTGGACTTATCACACGATTCAGCAAAATAAAAAACACTGCTTTCGTCTCTTAACTTCTTATCGGAGCCGTGTTTGCCAACCCAAAATTGATGAAATACGTCATTGTGTCGGCATGTCAAATAAATGGAAAATTCTGTGAATATATTAGGTCAAAAGAAGTGCGGGTCATTCGGTCTAAAATGAACGTGATCTTTAATAATCTATTTTGGCCCGAATACCAAAGGAAAGTCATTAAAATTATTATTATTATTGGAATACATTTTCTTGGACTTGCGTTGGCTTTACACTGAATATGTTAACTGCAAAACAGGAGAGCTGTACACCCAAAGCAAACACTGTTGGCAGAAATCAGACATAATCATGAGTTGTTGACAAAGCAAAGTCCATCCTAAATCATCATCGTTATATCAGGGCCATAAAAGCCAAGTCAGCCAGCCAGCCCATTGATTGTTATCTATTCAAAATGCAATCTACCGAATGTGTGTGATTACGGGCTTGGCTTTTTCTATCATATAAATCGGGAATAGTACGAAAATAACATTAAAGCCTTCGACATTTCGGCCTGAAGCTATTTGTAAACAAGTCAATGTGAATTATTGCTCAGCCAATGCAATAAATTTGTTTATCGAAACAACTGTTTTTATTATTCAATGGATAAACGATTGAAAACATGATTATTGCAGAGCCCTGTCGCGAAAGTTGGACTTCACACGAAAGTACACATTGAAAAACATAGGAAAAGTTGTATTTCTAGTATATATTTTAATATTTACCATTTCTGAAACACTTGCTATTTACTCGTGCTTGTAACTTTTGATAGTATCAGCACAAAGTGTTTGCTTATCGTAATTGTGTCCCCTATTATCCACTATCTGATGGTTAAAAATGCGCGCGTGTTTCATTTTATTATTGCAATCACGCAAATGCTGTTATGGAGTGTCCATAAATTAACCTAGGTCCGGGAAAATATTTTCTATGTACAGAAATATTGACATACTAAACTACTTTGTTTTAATATTTATTATATTCTGTTCCATTAGCTCAAAAATAAATGAATTTACTTTTACCTTACCGTTTCTAATTAAGTTTTAGACAAAGTATAACTTTCTTAACATAAATGGATTGTAAAGAACATTTTAATTGTAAATTAAAGCTAATAACAGCAAAGACCTTTGTTTCGTTTAGCTAAACTTCTCTTTGGAGGAAGCTAACGAGCAATTTTCTGAACTGTAATTAAATTCATTTACATATTTGCAGTACTTGCAACAGCAAGGTTCGTTCGTTTCAGAGAACAAAACCAAACGGACTTCAAAAATTTAATTAAAACCAAACAAAATAAGCTGAAAATAAAAACAATTTAATGCTAAAAGTCGGCAGGAAATTTACGGTTGTATTGGTTTAAAAACATTATTTCATAATATTAGGTATACGCCACGGACGCCAAAAAGTAGGCAATGTTTTTGGTAAGCAATGCCGGATGCCGATTATTTTATGATTCGTGCATTGCACTTGTTTTTATTATTTAAACTACGTGAATAGTGTGAAGTGTGTGAAGTGTTAAGTGTGTCCATAAATACCGGTAGGTCAGGAAACCCGCCGACTGTCTGTTGACGTCACAACAAACGCGTATCTTTTATTTTCCACATAATTAACCTCGATTTCGCAGCTGCTTAGTTCCGTTTTTTTTTGTTTAAACGAGTCATGAACTTGGACTGAGAATAGAGGATCCCAGCGGTCATGACGCGGCGCCTGCTCGGGGAGATTTATGGATATGTTTGCCGAGTATTACGGAGCAACAGCTCCGGACAACAGTTCCCGGCCCCGCCCACTCAGACAAGTGATGAGATGGGATGAGATGAGAAGCCGTAATCTGGAGCTGCCGCTCGTCCACAGAACTGCGTAATCGTTAGCTGTTTCTTAGATGAAATAGTAGATGTTTACCCGCAGATTTAGATACGAATCGTGTATAAATAGAGTGTCTCAGGCTATTTCACAAGCCATTTTCGGACAAGACGCCAGTTGCCAGTGTTATTCGGTTCGTGTTTTCGGTAAGAAGGTGTTGTGGAGCGGAACATAGCATGGAAAAAGGACAACAGAATCAAAAGTTTTCCCGCAAGAGCTTTAAAGCAACCTAGGACCTACTCCGCTGAATCCAAGGCGAGGTCCTAACCAACTGTGATAACCGAGATTCAAGGATCAAATCTAGGGTTAGTTAAGCCAAAGGATTCTAGGGGAAAAACGAAACGAAAGGATACCCAAAGATGTTCCTCAACATATTCAACTCGGGCATCTTCCAGTGGCAGTTCCGCCGTCAGCTGCTGGTCTCATTGAGCGGTATGTTAACGGAGATAAGACGGTTTAACAGCTCAACGGGGTAGCGGAAAGTTTCGGGTCCTCAGATCCATGTCACGAATTATACAGAAGCCATAATCCCAAAGTTGACACAAAGTTGACACGGCCAAAAAAATTCAATTTCACGCGTGCCTATGCAAATGAGCCCCTTGAGCTGTTGATTCTGGAGATGATGATGTCATTCGTTGATCCGTGTATGTGTTCTTTGCAGCCACGCTGATAACATTCTGTCATGGCATCGCTCTGGGATGGGTTTCACCGATGCTACCGAAACTCCTGTCGCCCAACGAGACGCCTTTGTCCTTTCACATCGATGTGGACCAGGCCTCATGGCTGGGAGCTGTCATCAGCATTGGCGGCATCTCTGGCAACTTCTCATTCTCCTACCTGATGAATCGTTTCGGTCGTAAGGTGTCGATTTATGCCCTGGCAGTGCCGCACACGGTACGTTTTTCCAGGCTCATAAGGAGCTTATCCTGGGGAATGTTCCCCTGAATGGCTGCTTAACTTGTCATGTTTTCCCCTTTTCCATACGCAGTGCATTTGGTTTATGTTCTACTTCGCACAGAGCATCGAGTGGTTGTATGTGGCAAGGGTTTGTGCAGGATTAACTGGCGGTGGCATGTTTGTTGTCCTGCCAATTTTCATTGGCGAAATCGCTGACAACAGGTGAGTGCAGAGGATTTAAGAGAAGAGAGTGCAGGTTCTCCTTTAATTTAATTATAGGGAAAACTTGACTACTAGCTATGATTTTGTGAATACAAATTCCTAGTACAGAACAGTATCAATTTTCTCTAACTCAGCTGGAAATTTCCGTATCAAGAGTCTTAAATTGCATTGCATGAAACGAAATCAATACATTTTTTCGAAAGGATTCAATATGAGACAAAGGAAGCCTTGTAAAAGTCCCATTTGGACTTTCCGCGTTTTTACTTGCAGCATTCGTGGCCGTCTGTGCTCCTTTTTTACGCTCACCATGAACACAGGAATAATGGTGGGCTTTGTCGTGTCCTCGCACGTACCCTATCACGTTATTCCCTGTGCCGTGGTGAGTCTTCCGGTGCTATATGTGTTCCTGGCCACCCGTTTTCCGGAGCCGCCGCAGCAACTGATTCGGTGGGAACGCGAGGAGGAGGCCGAGAGGTCCCTGAGGTTCTACAGACGGTGCGATGGGCCAAATGTTTCCAAAGAGGCGGAACGCGCGTACCAAAAACAGTTCGATGAGATGCGTTTGGCCATTCAGAAGCAAAACAAAGATTCGGATAACAAAGGGCTTTCCGTTCGTGATTTCTGTAAGTGAATTGATTGTAATTTTAAACTGGACTATTACCAACTGCTTTTAACTGTTCAATGCAGTCAATAAGCGTTCTTTGAAGGCTTTGGCCACGGGCCTGGTGCTGATGATAGCGAACATTTTCACCGGCACCTTTGCCTTCATCAATTACATGTCGAATATCTTCGACCAGGTGAACACACAGCTGGATCCTAATACGAACACCATCATCATTGGAGCCGTCCAGATTTTGGGGACCTTGGCAAGTATCTACGCTGTGGATCGCTATGGCCGGAAGGTCCTGTTGATCGTGTCCTGTGCAGGAAGTGGAATTGGAACGGCTGCCTTTGGTGTGTACGCCTTCTTTGTGGAGCAACAGGAAGTGGATCTATCAGCCTTCTCCGCCTGGCTTCCTGTTTGCCTGATGTCCTTCATCATCTTTATTGCCAATGTGGGCGTAATTTCTGTGACAATGGTGGTGCTGGTAGAGGTCCTGCCACAGAAGATCCGTGCAGTGGCCACCAGTTTCTGTTTGGGCTGCCTCAGCTTCTTCGCCTTCACCTCGCTGAAAACCTTCCCGCTAATGATGTTCCATCTGGGCCTGGCGGCCACCATGTGGTTCTGTGCAGCCACCAGTGCTCTGTGCCTCTTCTACGTGGTGGTCTGCCTGGAGGAGACCAAGGGTCGCTCCATGTATGACTAATGCCGAATAAAGTTAAGATAGTTAGTCCGTTCCCAGACCGTGTTTTTATTCTCGCTGCGGCGGAGGAGGGCATTAAACCAAAACAAAACACTTGGAAACAGAAGCCGCGGGAGGAGCGCCCCCCTCATAAAAAGTGGAGCGTTGACAGTTATGATTTATGACCCAGTCTGCCCCACCTGTCGCTAATGTGATGTCAACAATTAGCTCGCAAGCTTATTATTTACAAGCCCTCGCCTTAATCCCTGCCAGCAGGGCATGTGTGTCCTCCTCAGTGGCAATGCGCTTGCCACGTGTAACTTATGCACCAGAGGAATAGCACAGTTGCCAATGAAAATTAGCTCTTGCCACAGTATTAAGCTTTATTTTGGATTCTGCAAAATTGCTACTCGTTTCGGGGGGCTTTAGGACTTAACTTTTTAAGTAAAGTAGCTACCTGGAAACTAACCAAGGTTTAATTGGAGGTTGAAGACTGCCTTCAGCTTCAAAGTGACTTCATTCAATTTCGACAAGACAAAGCGGCTTTACCTACAATTATTGCTTAAGTTAAGCGTCGGTTATCTGGTAATCCCTTCGTGCTCAAGTGCCTGAAAAGGATGCATCCTTCAGATAGTGTGTGTGGTAATGGAAATTAATTCTGTGAAATTGCCGTAATTTTCCTCCTTCCGATGTGTGTAATTGCTACAGCATTAACATGGAAAATTCATGTTCTACATGGACATCAATTTTAGAGAAGAACACTGATTAGGAAAGGTGTTAAATTTTAATTATAAAGTATTTTAGTTAAAATAATTGCAATGATTGTAAAATCAAATCACATTTTTAATGAGGCAGAGGAGAAGTTGGGTGTCAGTTGAAACGCTAAGCATATTGTAAAGGGAAGGTACCACCTCGAATTTATTTATTTATAAGTTATAATTTATCAATTTCCACACACTCATGCAAAAATGTTTGCAAACATTTATGGAAACAACCGATAAGTGTTCTATTTATAGTCTATCGTGTAGGGTAATCGATTCAATGATATTTATATCAGCGACTTGATGCCTTAATTGATTCTTGAGAATATTTCGATTTGCTTTCTTAACGAATTTTTTTTTTTTTTGTTAAATTGTACTTGAGAAATCTTCTCCTTTAAAACCTTGGTTTTATTGTTACCTTTTAATAGGATAACTACCTCTTTGAATGGTACTTGGAAATAAATAAGTCGGGATATATTTCAATTGACTTACAGCATTGAAGTAGCAATTATTTACATAATCTCCACAACACTTGACTCTAATTGTTCAATTTCGGTAATTATATTCTTGCTTGCTTCTGGTGTCATAACAGTAATAACATTTTATTCCATGGAATCCGATATTTCTGAAACTAGATGGCTAATAAGCAATGTTACCTCGTTATTAACAACTGAGAGGAAGCGGTCGCTATGGCGATGCTGCCCATTATTTCTGATAATAATGAGAGCATTTGCAGCACCAATACTTCAGGTTTTACTTACATTACTAACATATATCTTTATATATATACTTGCAAACAAATATACCTATGTACTGTGGGCAATCAGCTTTTAAGTGTATTTCCCGGTACCCCTTTATTTCTGTATCGTTTGGTCAACAAATTCACTATAAGTGCAGTCAACTTTAAAGCTTTCCCCGACTTTTGTAGTGTTTCTGTTTTCTCAACTTTTTCAAATGAACTTGCCTTGACTTTGAAAGGCAACTAAAAGTTGCTAACACAAATATTAGTTTGTTTTTGTTTTTATTCGATTCGCTGTGTCGTCTTTACTCCTTACGTTAATTATGAAAGAAAAACAGAACAGGGTTTAAAGGGAAACTGTCAATCGCTACGCAGCGCGAGTCATTCCAAATATTTCCCTTTCACGGCAGACACTAATTAAGTTCCATAATTTCCATGTGGCCTCACCATCTCCATTTACCAGCTTAAGCATTGTTTGCTGTGATATTAAATGACATAATTGGTATACGTTTTCAGAATTGATGTCACAATCAAGAACTTTGACGGTGGCAAGCACTCCTTCCTATTTATACTTGCAATTTTATAACGATATATGCACAATATGTAGTGGTGAAATTCCTTGAATTTACTGTTTACAATTTATTATGTATGTTTCTGTTTATTTGCTTAATTTCTCATTTCAAACACAAACGAATTGGGGCGAATTTTTATTTTACTAGGAATTCTTCAACTAGTTCTCTCCATTTCAATTTTATATTTTTGGGGAAAATATGTAAAAAAAATAAAAAAAACTAATATTTTTCTTAGCTTGGCTTTTCAGTTAACGCAGTCAACTATGTGGAGCTACAGCCATCAAAATGCAGAACCCAAAAAGCATTTGCAGTAGGATATTCGCCCTGGTAATGCTCATCCTGCTGGCGGGCCTTCTGATTCCTTGGGGCCCCAGAGTTGGGTGAACAATACAACAACCACCATCATTCCAACTGTGGTATCCTTGGCCACGGGTACCGAATCGGAGGAGCACATGAATACGCATCGGTATGTAACCAGTCTACCAAAAACCGGTAACACAACTAGCAAAACTATGGATACCGTGACAAGGATGCGTTTAAATGTGAGTATACTTAAGTGCAATTAAGGATATTGCGTGCTTCATTAAGTTGAAAAGCTTAGTTGAACCTTTTAAAATTTTAATGATGAGAACAAACTCTTGAATTAAAAATTCTTATTTTTTATCAATTTAAAGGTTGTTTCTTTTTAAGTTTAAAGTGCATAAAACAATCTAAATCACATTTTACTTCTTTCTTCCTAAAGCCCACACCAAATGGTGAGATCACCGAAGTCAGCACCAATGTAACGCTTTACATGGAAAAGATTCCACGTCTTCAGGTGCGTTGGCAGGACAATTTACCCGAAGGTAAGTAAAGAAAGTTATCCATTAGAAAGCACTGCCATGCTTGTGGTTCATAGGTCTCAATTAATTTGTTCCTTACAATGACTTGATAATAAGCTAAATATTTAAATTGAAATATAAAAGTTGCCTACCTAAACTGTTATCAAAATTAAGTTTGCGAACGTTCTGTCTGGCACTTCGTTTTAGGAACTTCCTATAATGTCCTCGTCAGCGCCTTGAACAACACCCGATGTCCGGATGCTCCTTGCAGTGAGTACGGCATTAAGGGCAAACCTTCTGCTCCCAACTTCGTTTACCTGCCCCTGAATCCAACCTGAATGTGGAGTCGGTGGACTGCAACTATATGTTTGGGTGCCAGTACAAGGTCACTGTGGAGACCTCAAATGCGATGGTTCGTCGCTCCGCCCGCGTCTTTGTTCCACGTGAGTTTGATATTAAATTCAATCATTAATTTACAAAATATTTAAATATTCACAAAGTATCTTGAAAAATATACGAAACTATCTTCTAATGGGTATTTGGTAATCGAAGCTTGGAGTCTTGTTTAACAATTGTCATCTAAACAGAGTGCCTGGAGGGCAAGTGTTCTTGCCAATTGGCTCCCACACCGCCGAGGGTCCTGGCCATGGGAAAAATGCTTAGTAATGACACCATTAGCATCAGTGTCTCGATACTGGCCAGTGAGCAGTTGCGAAAGGAGCAGGATTCGCATTTACACAACACACTGGGGACCTACAAAATGCAGTTGAAGTGAGTAATTGCTGAGAATAATTGAATTAAAATTACATTGATTAAATGTTGGTATTTACCTTGAACGTTTTCAAACATTTAGTTCTTCAATTACACTATAATGAAACCAATTTTTTGCTTCTGAATAACTCAAATCTATTCGTTATTATTTTACTTTCACTAAAGAGACAACAGATTTACTTATAACTTGAAATTCCCAGAACCAGGAGAACGCTTTTTTTTATAAACAGCGAATTTCCATGAACACTGAACAACTTGCACTGTCAATTGCTTCGAATGAACCTTTTCAAATTTTCTGTTGAATCTCCGTCATTCATGGCAGAAAAATCGCCAATTTCTTAATTTCTGGAGTAAAGCTTGTTAATGTTTTAATAGCTTGGAAATGAAATTATGGTTCTGCAGAATCAGAATCAATAATGCTAAATATAAAAGAAAAACAAATTTGCAGAATCAACGAGGAGACAAATCCCTCGCTACCTGGGGAGGAGTTTTGAAGCACCTGCTGACCCGTGTCTACAAATTAAGCGAACTGGGCTTCAAGGCCACGCCGAAGGGCTTCGAGGGCAGCATAAAACTTGGCCTGGGAACGCAGCTTAAGGAGAAGGCCTCCCTCAGTCTGCAGGCAGTGATCATTGATCCTGCGGGCTGCGAGGGACCACGTAGTGTGGCCAAGGTGCCAGGTGAGTTGGGAAACATATAGATATTCACTTAAAAAATGTATCTTTAAATCCCTTTGAAAAACCAGTGCCTGCGAATCCCATTCTGCTGACCGAGGGAGACAGTGTGGTAAGACGGCCTTAAACCTTTCATATATTTTCATAATTTGTATTTACTTATTTACAGAGCAACTCCATTATGGTTATGAGTGGCATGCTAATAGCCATCATTTTGGCTGGCCTAATTATGCTTCTCCTGCGATGGCGGAAAGTAAGGACGAATGCCAAGTTACAACGCAGGAGCAGATATACATACAGACTTTTGCATCCTCTGCCATTGAGTAAGTTTCTATGCAAATAGAGCTGGGATTATGCTAACCCTAAGGGGACTCTCTCTTGCAGGATGGAAGATAATGTTAACTATGTGGACAAATACGTCGAGGTAAGTGTTTCAGTCAATCAGAAATCTTGAAATAAGCTAACCACATGGTCTGTCCAAATACATATTTTCTATTTATGATATTGAGGTAAGACCTATGTTAAGACTTTGAAACTTTATGTATAATCGAGTTTAGAAGGAACCTAAAAAGAAAGCTAACTTTGGCTTGTCTGAGAGTATATACCCTTGCAGTTTGGAAATCAAGCAAAACTATGCTAAAAAGGAATTAATTATTATAATATAATAATAATATAATATGTTAAACTGTTTACTTTGAACAGCATTCGTAGATGAAGTATCAATTAACATTAAAATTAACTAAATGGGGTGCACAACAATGAAGGAATAAGGCCTGATCCCTAATATAGCATCTATATATACGATATAATTGTAATGATTAAGCTTACCCCAGTGGAGGACACATAGTTATCCGCTGTCGTCATGGTTTAATTCCTTCCAGTGCAGTAAGTGAGCTTCTTCCTGTTTATCCAGATTAATTCCATAGGCCACGTCATCTTTAGGGGTGTTCACTATCACAAAATGCACTATCACTGTCGATGTTACCTCCGCGGCCTCCCGGGACTGACTGATTCGCGCGCGACCCTAGTGCCTCTATTTATACTCTCCGAGCAAGAGAATGTCAGAGAAAGTCAGAGCGAGAGCGCTAGAGAGAAAGAGGTTCCTCTAGAGTAAGGCAGAGAGTAACAGAGGGAAATAGCTCTCGCTCTCGCTCTCGCTCTCACTCTGACTCTTGTATTTGATGGCTCGCTGGCGGTTTGATCAAATCGGTTGTTTAGGCTGATCAAGAATATATATTATATACTCTATATAGCCGGAAATGAATTCTGCTTCCGACTAAATATATGTAGTTTGTGGGACCGGAAATGACTCCTTCACTGCATTGCAAGCTGCATTCAAAAATTATAATACCCTGCAAGGGTATAAAAATTATTAAAGAATTAGCTATTATTTTTTTTATGATAATTTATTTTTTAAATATAAAACTGATTACTAAAGTACCTTTCCCGCAAATCCCCTGCAGAAGTCCCAGCTTCTGGGTCTCGCAGATATATTTGAGGTTCCCCACTCGGCCATCCAAATAGGACGCATCCTGGGCGAGGGTGCATTTGGACGCGTCCACGAGGCAACGGCCATTAATTTGCGCCGGATGAGGGGCACCACCATTGTGGCTGTGAAACAGCTGAAGCGTGAGTTTAAAATATATAAAATGTTAGGAATAAATGGTGATAGAGTGTGTGTGAATTTATAGCCAATCCTAAGGCGGATGAGGTGGCCGAGTTCCTGTCAGAGATTGAGATGCTCAAAGGTGTGGGCACCCACCACAATGTGGTGTGCTTCTGGGCTGCTGCACCATCAAGCCACCATACCTGATGATAATGGAGTATGTGGGTCAAGGCAACTTGGTAAATAAATATAATTATATAAGTTAAATGCTGAGTATATATGCATATATACCTCAAACTAAACAGCAAACTTATCTGCGCTCGTTGCGCAAGGAGGCCGGCAAGTTAAAACTGCGAAATGCCAACTACACCAGCTGCAGACCCATCTCGGCCAATAGCACGTCATCCCCAAAGGCACCCAGCGTGAATTACATCGAATTGAAGGCTTCCAGTCAGGCCATTGATGTGCAATCCACGGATGACTTAAATTCCATTGCCATGAATGGCTTTGGACCGCCCCAGGCATCCCGACGAGAATTCGCTAAAGTGTGTATACGGTGAAGCTACTTTGCAGAGATTGACATGGAATTGTATTTAATTACAGCCACCTATAGCATTGTGGAGGAGGAGGTGTCGTTCGAGCATGTCTTGGATAATAAAGAGTTGCATAACTTTGCCCTGCAAATAGCTAATGGAATGCGATTCTTGGAAGAGCAGGAGATAACGCATCGGTTAGGAAATTGTTATTGAAATACCATGGCAATGAGGTTTAACATTTGATATATCTTTACAGTGACCTCGCTGCTCGAAACGTACTGATTGACAGTGATAAAACCTTGAAAATATCAGATTTTGGTCTTTCAAGGCATGGAATATATACGAATACAAAGACGCGAAAGGTAAGTGGAGTCATATACGTACATATGTTCCGATATCTTAATACGTCTCCTTCTTTCCACATTTATTCCTCAGCTCCCACTTCGCTGGCTATCCATAGAGGCCATTCGTGACAATGTCTACTCGAGCAAGAGTGACATTTGGGCATATGGAGTGGTCCTGTGGGAGATTGGCACCCTGGGCGCCTCACCATATCCCACGATTAGCAACAGCGAGCTGATACCCTTCCTGCTGGCGGGTAACCGACTGGAGAGGCCAGAGATCTGTACGCCACAGGTTTACACCATTATGCTGCAGTGCTGGCTGGAGGATCCCGAGGAACGGCCCACTTTTGATGCCCTGTACAAGGTGCTGCGCCCAAAGACCGCCTACGTTGATATCAACAGTCTCAGTGATGACTATGTTTTCCGCCTATCAACGAGAATAGGGAATAGAAAGCACCATTAGCTAATATTTCAGTCCTCTCTAAGCTATACTTGTTAAGAGTTTAATTTAGTTTAATTTTAATTTAAATGTAGTTTCCATATGCTAGTTGTCAACGTACAAATATCTCCGTCTGTGTATGCTTAATGCAGAGTTACAAATGTTTTCGGATCAAAGTGTTTTATAATAAGTGTACATTTTAGTTTAAGACACAAACCATAGATTTTCCTTCAACTAGATCAATGTATAAATGTAAGCATTTAAGGAAAATAAATAAAGAAAAAACCGAAGCAGGACAAACCTTCTTCACCTGCTGTATACGACCGTAATTTCGATGTGCTGTGAGTTTCAAATTTGAAATCAAATTTTAATGTACATTTTATTGTTAATGTTAATTAAGCATTCATGCATACTTTTGAAAGTATTAATAAAATTGAATTAGAGGAAAATATGGCAAGTCATTTTAATGTCGTACACCGTAAATTTCATTCCAGGCAACAAACTGTTGACAGTCCTCTGCCGAGACACTTTTCGATATGACTCGCAGAGCCTTGTTAAAATCCTCCATTGTAACGGCGGGTAGCTATAAGGGGCAATGTTTACAAACATCAAATAAAACTATATTCTACGTATTACCTGATCTGGTTCAATGATTTCAATTTCATCGGCACTTAGCGACCGAAGAGGTGCCATCGATGCGTAGCGACAGAGTGTGTCCACATCCGCACCGGAATAACCATCGGTGAGCTCTGCCAGCTGCTCAACCTCTGTTTGATCAAGACTGTGTTTCACCTGCCTGATAATCTTCTTAATGATTTGCTGTCTTGCATCCTTTGTGGGCAATGGAACGTAAAGCCGGCGTACGAATCGTCGACGCACAGCCTCGTCTAGCTCTTGGGGTCGATTTGTGGCTCCAATTACCAGAATTCGAGTCTCCTCATTACTGGCAGCTCCATCCAGATGAATGAGGAATTCGTTTTTCAACCGTAGCGTGCTTTCGTTTTCATTGCCCGACCTCTTTGACAGCAGAGAATCCACTTCGTCAATGAAGATAATCTAGATAGTATAGAAAGATGGTAAAAATTTGCGCTTTCCTTGTAAAACTCATTACTCATCACTCACAGCTGGCTGATGGGCTGCAGCCACGGCGAATAAGGTCTTCACCAGCTTCTCGGCCTCGCCCACCCACTTGGAGGTCAGGCTAGACGGATTAATGCTAAAGAACTTGGCCTTAGCCTGGGAGCAATACTCTTGGCGATTAGGGTTTTCCCGGTGCCTGGTGGACCGAATAGGAGAACTCCACGAGGTGGACAGCGCACGCCAGTGAATAGGTCCGGACGTCGCAGTGGCATTATTATGGCTTCCAGGAATGTCGATTTTGCAGATTCTAGACCAGCAATGTCGTCCCATCCTGAAAATGCAAAATGCACATAGAAGACACTTAACAAAAAAAAAAAATTAAATAAATAATAAATAAATCGAACTACTTGCCGACGGGTTTGAAATTGTGCATGCTTTCGCCAAGAATTTGCTCAACCATCTTGGGATCAAGATGGGCTAGGGTTGGAGGGATGTTGGAGCTGGTTCTGTGTTGTTAAAAAAAAGCAATTGGATTTGTTCTAGAGAAGAACACCAGTACTCACGCCTTATTCGTTGTTTGAGTTTGTCCTACGGGCGACACAAAGTTGGAGCTGACGGTTCGCTTGCCACCCAGCGTCTTTTTCCTAAAGTTCATCATCTCGGATGGTGCATCTGCTGATGTTGTTCTGCGAATCGCCCCCGGTTCATTCTTTTTCTGCAAGGAAATAAACAAGTTTATAATATACATAAGTATGGTTTATTAACTTTTAGCCTTGACCTAAAATCTTAGGAAAGTGAGCTTTGTGATAACGTTTACCTTTAATTCGTTCAGAATGTACTGTTCCCTTGCTGTGCGAAAACCAAGGAAACTGGGTTGTAACTTAGATTCATCCTGCTCATCCTGTGTTCTGTATTCAGCAGAACCAATCCTATTAGGTGCCTGTGCTGCTGCTTTTTTCGTATGTGGTTCCAAATTTGCATTTGAGCAATTTACTAGAGACTTTGTTCTGTTGAGCAATCATTTGCTCTTTCATTAGACAAGTCCCTTGTTTTTAGTTCGGCCTGTTGGCAGGTTTCGTAAAAACCTCTGCAGGCTGGCTCGAATGCCGTGGGCTTTGGGGAATTCAGCTCCATCGTAAGGCTTCCGGAAGGCATTCTTCGACTGCGTCCTATTGTTTGCTGGCATCGCTCCAGGCGCTCCAAAGTTATGTGTTCGGTGCTGCCGTCCTGGTGCATTTTATGTTGGTGTTCTCTTAACACATCGTGACGGGTGGCGTCACTGGAATCTCTGCCTCCCAAAAACGTATAAAGAAAAGTTGGTTTTTGTTCTGAAAGTAGGTGCGTACCTGGTTTGCTGGGCGAGCAACAGCTTTTGTTTGCGCCAAGCGCATTGTCTCCTGGCATTTGGGGCTTCCCTCGACTGCCAAACCGATTCGTTAACTGCGTATTGCCGGCTCCACTGCTGCTGGTGGGTCATGGTTTTTTGTTACAAAAACGTCGTAATAAACACTAATAATGTGCAATTAATTTTTCAACAAACGTTCCCGGTAAAAATAAATAAACAGCAAGCAGCTGATTGGGTTTCATAGCTGCAGAAAACAATTATAAGATCTCGATAAATGAGTTATCGATTGTTGACTGTGGCGGTTATTTAAATTTACAGTTTGTGTGATTAATTAACTTGTTTTGCTTTCATTCCAGTAATATCATATTCATCCCTTGTGTCTGACATTTAATAATTGAGGTTGTGGAACAATATCTGCCACTTGGCGGTTTGAAGCAACATTCTGCATTCGCGTATTAATTAGCCGCATTATTCCCAGTATAAGAAATCTACTTTGTCATTGGACTTAATAAAGGAATTAATGCCTGAAATGTTGTTTATTTAAATTTCTTTTTATTTATTACAGCATTTAATATTTCATTTTAAGTTCGAAACCTCGATACCGGAACAAGTGAATTTCAGGCAGCAAGTGTCAGCTAAATTGATTAGGTGATCGGTTTCATAGCAGTCAGTTAGGACTATCGATAGATTTTTTTTTTTAAGCAGAGTATATCAAATTTGAATTTAGTAATTAATAATAAAGTTATTTTCTTTTAAGTATTATGTTTTCATTTCGCTGTAAAGTATGAAATTGTTTTAGTTTGTTTCAGGTTTTTAGCCCTTCAGTGCACAGTTGTATGTTAATTAATATTCAATTGCTTTTAATTGCCGCTCTCGGCATTCAATTAAAATCGCTTAAAACTTTGTCGACGGCACGAGGCACCCTTGTCCGCTGTCCGCCGGAGATTTCGCCATCAACACCAGCAGCCACGGCAGACGTCCCCGGGCCTTATCGCCGAATCGCGGTCTGTATGCTCACGTTGGGCAAATATATACCTGCATATTGCTCATCTAAGCTGCCAACTATATGAAAACACGTCCGGACACAGTCTCCGGTTGTGAGTGGGCCGTGGAGTTCAACTGGTGGCGCATAGGACCGGTCGCTTATCTCGAGGTCCGAGATCCAGATAGCAGCGGCGATTCCACTGCCATAAATAGCCCACAGCAGCCATTAACAGATTCTCAGTTTAATGGTCAGTGCAGTGGAAGTTACAGGAGATTCCACTCAACCGAGGAGCTTAAAACGAGGAATCATCATCATCATTGGATAGCAATTGGATTAAGGATAAGCTGGGATCATGTGCCTGCCAAAGCGAGTGGGTGGTCCGGCCATCCAGAGCATTGCCACTGCTATAGGTGAGTCTATAGAAGCACTCTGAATTATTTAATTTATTATTTATTTTACCCTGTACCTCATTGTTAAGTTCTATCAAAGATTTTGTCATATTTAAGCGGAATATAAATCGGTAATATTGATTACCCATAAAATAATAAATTAAAATAGGAGTAACTATGATAAGTAGATAATCAAGTATTAAATGATAACTAATACCTACTAATATTTGTAATTACCTTTAATGCCTTCTTTTACTTTTTTGCAGGCAATATTCTCTGTTTCAATTTTGGCATGATTTTTGGCATAACTCCCGCCCACATGACACTCTATGAGTCCGAAGTGAAAACACCTTTAAACATGGCCACAGATGCACGGGAACAGCCTGGCTCACGGGTTACCTCTTCCTCAGTGCCGCCATTGGAGCTCTGTTTCTGGAGTCCTGCCCTGCGAATCGGTCCCAAGTCCATGCTGCTCTGCGCTGGCCTCCTTCAAATTGTGAGTGAACAAAAACCATTTAATTACTTAGTTGCTGCTTTACAATTATTCCATTAAAAAGTTTTAAGAGGTTTAAGTGATTTTTATATTTTTTATATTTACAGAGTGGTTGGTTCTGCATCCACTTTGGCTACGACATCATTCATATATATGCCTCCCGCCTGTTTGCGGGCGTGGCTGCCGGTGCCTCCTTTGTTGTCCTTCCCATTTTTATAAACGAAATTGCAGAGTCGCGGGAAAAGGCCGCCCGACTTACGTTCACCATTGAACTGTGGCGCACTCTGGGCATCCTGGTGGGCTTTGTCCTTGGCTTTTTTGTGCCCTACGACCTGGTCAACATTGTTGGTTGCGCTGTATCCTTTGTCTTCACCATGTCGTTCCCCTTTGTCCAGGAGAGCCCGCATTACTATCTGCGAAAAAACAATATTCCATGTTTGGAGAAGTCACTTCGCTGGTATCGAGGCATCAGGGACATTGATGACCGCGAGAAACCGGAGTATCTCAGTGAACTGGCTGAATTTAAGGCCGAGCTGCATAAGAAGGAGAAGAATGTGGGTTCCATGCCCATGTCCCAGAGTTACATAGTGAGGCTGACTTTTGTCAGCTTTCTGCTGACCGTCTGCGCCAAATTAAGCGGTGTTTTCGTAGAGCTTAACTACGCATCGGACTTTTTGGGCGCACTGGTTACTCCACGGAAACCAATTATATCGTTTTGGCCAGCGCCCAGTGCCTTGGAGCCCTTCTTGCACGCCTTGCAGGACCGCAATTACCGCGAAAGGTGAGTACTTTTAATTTACAAAGCAAACTCAGGTGTGCAGGAATAATTTGCATATCCAAGAGAGGCATCTTATATTATGAGGAAATTGAACAAAGCCCTTTCCCCTATGTTAGTTATTATTAAACTAGGAAGACTAAGATACTAATTAGCTTTACATATCATGTACAGCTCTCCTGTGCCTCTCCTCACTGCTCTCTGCTGCAGCTGTCATAACCCTGGCTTTGTTAAGACCTATGGAAACTCGTGGCTTCTGGGAAGTTGGGCGGACCGACATCTACCCATTATCCTTTTGGCTTTCCAGCTTGCCTTTGTTAGCTTTGGTCTATATCCCCTGGCCGCTGTGGTTAGCAGCGAAGTGTTGCCCACCAAGGTAAGTTCAGTTTTGCACAATTTGCCAGGAATTATATCTGATATTGTATCCATTCTCAGCTTCACGACCTGCTTTACTCCCTGGCTCTGCCTTCTCCTGGCTGCTGCTCTTCGGCATGATTGAGGTGAGTGCTCTTAGTGCTAAGTTCTCTATGAAATAATACTTTTATTATGCGGCATGCTTTCAGGGATTCAATGCGGTAAAAGCACAATTGCCCCGGGTTTAGTACTGTACCTGTGGGTATTTGCCGGCGCCTCGATATTTGTGGGCTTGATTTCGTTGTCAATTTTGCCGGAAACACGAAATCGACGCCCATCGGCGGTGCAACGTGAAATGGGTTACGTGGATGATGGCGGAGTGGCCAAAGGATCGGCGGTGACCAATGGACACATTGCCACGCACATTTGAAATGCTCTAGTACTTATAACATACAGCGACTCCTTAGTTTTACGTCCACTATTAGTATATAACTTAGTATTACTTTGCCTAAGTGCACTTATTAAAATATACAATAAATATAGGAATATTGAGGAATTTAATTGCAGTTTTAAATTGAGTATTCGAGTTATAAACCTAATTAATTAATAAACCTAACCTAGTCTTTTAGAAGCTCGCTTCCTGTCTTCCTATTATTTAAATCAATTTAAATATATATTAGTTTCTTTGTTGATACTTAAATACAACATCTACTCTCAAAAGTATGCCTTAAAATGTTATATTATTTAGTAATAGATTACTCATCCGGCTGGCAACGGTGAGATCCGGAAACCCATAAAGTATTATGTCGTGCACTTCACTTAAGTCACAAGTCTATGACTTTATCTTTTGGCTCGAATCTTGGCAGCGGGTCATAGAAGTCTGTTCCCATATCTTATCTCGCTTACGCTTTACAAACAATACTTTGTCATTAAAAACTTACCCACATCATGAATAATTTGTGATAAAAGTTACGGTAGGTGGTGTCTACTGTGCAATCATGTGTCAGAAGTCTAGAATAATACTCTTATGAAATTGTTTAAGTACTGTGGATAGTCCTTAAATGAAAAATATCTTTGTAGAATATTAATTACAATTTTTTTATTCTAAAAAACCAGCTTGAAAGGATATTGAACAAGTTATTCTTCTGGTATTTCGCTGCTGGGAATTACTTTTTATTTATTATTTTATTCAATATAGTAAACATTCTAGACTTGCATTGTATAATTGAAAAATTATCTTTTAATCTTGTTTGTTATATATAGAAAATGTTTACTGTGTTTGATACACGTGTTAATTTCTAACAGGTAACTAAAATTTGCACCTGGATAAGACGTTCACTTGTGGCTCGTGAGGCTTTTTTAACATTATATTTATTTTGTCCATAATCAGACAACATTCAACTTGAAAATGAATGGACGCTATCTATCAAAACAACTCTATAATAATAAAAGAAAAGTGATTTGCCAGAGACTATGATAAGATTAGGAAATGTAAAGCTCTACAACGATTCTAGTGATTGTTACAATAAATTATTAAATGGTTTTAAAGAAGGTGGGATTAGGGAATTAATCTTATCCTTACTATTACTTTCTCTGGCTAATTTTGAATTTTAATTATTGAATTAATAAATCAATGGATTAAATAGATGATAATTATTAGGCACAAGTACAGCCTGCAACAATTTCTATCGCATTATTTATACAAATAAAATAAAGATGTTTAATATAAATGAAAATTCAATAAAATATCCCATAAATTTATTACAATATTACTATTTATATAACAAAAATATATAAATTAACCAATGGCAAGGTCATTTTTTCGGTGCATTAACGGATAATATGCCAAGTTTATTAATGAACTTGTGTCCCACGTCAGTCGTTTTCCTTCACTTGGAGATATTCCAGATCACTCATTCGCCTGCAAAACCACGCATCACATTCGCATGGCAAAGAATCCCATTTTAATTCGTTCATGGCGCCAACTAATCCTGATTTACGCTCTTACGGGATGAGTTGGCCCATATATATGGCCAAAATGCCCGACTTTGTGTTTGAGGTATCTTGACGTACAAATATTTACACATCTAAAGGTAAATTTACGATTACCATTATTTAAACGCCGCTCTCTCTCTCTATGAGTCTCCCCTGAGATTGCCGGAGTCTAGACACTCCTCCCGTTGCGACCTCTGCTGTATCGAACGCATATCAAATCAGGAAAAAATAAACAAACAAAATAACTATATAAAATACAAATAATTGTAATCGGCAACAACAAATTTGCATTAACACCCAGGGGCAATAATTAACTATTATCCGACGCCACTGTGACAGTGGATTTGCTTTGCTCTCGTTTTTCCCAGAGCATAATGAGACAGTGATAACGGTCTATAATCTACGGAGGCAGAACGTCAACTGCTCTCGCTCAGTTTAGTGCGAAGCTCGTTTACGATCTAATGCAAAATATATATAAATGTTATCATCCAGCCACTGGTCTCGCTTAGTTAAACGCGAACACTTACGGACCCGCGACGGATCCCGGATTCGGCGAAGAGAGTTAATTAATTTTAGGACTCGCTGATAAAAGTTTTTAGCCAGAAATAAAATAGTGGAAAAGCTTCAGCAAAATGAGTTCCTCTGGCAGTGCAAAATACCAGTACCTGGCAGCCATCAGTGGTTAGTGCTTAAAGAGAGGAAACTATCAATATTAATGAAAGAATTTAAACAATTACGAAAGGTCCCTGATCATTCGATTTTGTTTTAAAGTTTAAACTAATAGTTGTTAGTGAAAAGTAATGATTTGTTAAACTGGAAATTGTTTAATATAATTAAAACATAAAAAATACTTTCAACCAAAATAAAGAGTTTACTGTAAACGACAGTGTTACATAGTTAAAATTTAATTAACAAATAACAACATATTATTGGTTTCAATTATCCTTTCAGTGAATATTATTACCATTTCGTATGGCGCATTCTGTGGTTGGCCATCGGCCAGTTTTCTGGAATTGACATCAGATGCAAGTCCATTGGAATCAGGACCTCTGACCAAACAGGATCAAGGCTGGGTGGCGGCCACTATTTGTTTGGGTGGCCTATTTGGAACTATTGTGTTCACCTGGCTGGCAGATAAAATTGGCAGGAAATGGAGCATTCTATGGATGGCCCTACCGAATTTGGTAATCTATTTTATTAAATTAAAATTTAAATGATTTTTGGAATGATAGTTTTGTATGACTTAATTAGCTCGGTTGGATCATCATACCATATGCCCGGAACCCGACGCACTTAATTATTGCCAGATTTATTGGAGGAGCTGCTGGCGGAGGAATCTTTACTGTGGTCCCTATTTATATAGCTGAATTGGCTGCCGACAGGTGAGACAGGAGAATTATGTTTTAATAAGCTTTGGAAAATATTTTCATAACTATTTGCCAGTGTTCGAGGTGTTTTGGGTACATTCCTGGTGCTCACTTGCAACGTTGGCGTGCTTTTGGCCTTTGTCCTGGGCTACTATTTCGACTATGCCACTGTGTCTTGGATTGTCTCTACTTGTCCTTTGTGTTTGTTGGCTGTTTCTGGTTTATGCCAGAGACCCCACAGTACCTGGCCAAGCTCAAGAGGGTGGAGGCAGCGGAGCATTCGTTGCGATACTATCGCAACATTCGATCCAATCCGGCCAAGGAACTCAGCGAGGAACTGCAATTGGAGCTGCAGAAGCTGCAAACCACTGAGAAAAATACAGATGGAACAGAAGAGGATGATGATGAGGATGCTAAGGGTGTGACTTGGTCAGATTTTGGTGAGATAAATTATTTGGAAAATACTGATTTAATTGATAAAGTATTGGTTGTGGTTAAGAAATACATTTAAGGGAGAGAGAAAGTCAAATTAATTGAATGATTACATTAAAAAGTTTCTTTAATTCAATTATTATATTAAGTTAACATCATTATTTAATTAAAAGAAGGGCTACAAGAACATTGCTAATAACTACCACACTGCGTATACGTAATTTAATTATAATAATCAAATAACGTATACGCAGTGTGGAAGCAGAAGCAATTGTTCTTTTGTTATTGCTTACACTCTGCGTATAAGTAATTTAATATAGTATTTCATCTAATTTATAAACAATTTGAAATATTATTTTCATTTAATTTGCAACAAAATGTCCTTCTTTCTTTCTTTTAATTTAATAATTAAGTACATTTAATTTAATATATAAAGTAGAGAAACTTTGTCTATTTAAAGCACATCAAATATGGTTTTTATTGTTCTGCTAACACACTGCGTATACGTAATTGATTATTATATTATATTACGTATACGCCGCGTGGCCGCAGCATTATTAAACTCCTTATACGAAATGTGGTAGCAGAAGCAACTTTCTTTCTTTCTTTAATTTAATAATTAAGTAAATTTAATTGAATAATTGAAGTAGGAAATTTGCCTGTGCTTCCACACTGCGTATACGTTATTCAATATAATACTTCATTTATTTTAACAACAATACAAAAATTTTTTTTATTGAAAAACTAAATAAAATACCATAATTTATTTGCTGTAAAAAGAGACAGAGGGAGAATTTACTTCTGTTACCACACTGCGTATACGTAATTTAATAAAATATTATTTTTCTTGCCTCCAGCTGATGTCAAGACCCGGAAGGCTTTCTTCATTGGCCTCGTTCTGATAATGTTCAACCAGCTGTGTGGATGCTTCGCCATGCTGAACTACACGGCAGTCATCTTTGAGCAATCTGGCGTCAGTATGCCACCAACGATGGCAGCCATAATTGTGGGAGCGATCCAGCTACTCGGAAGCTATGTGTCCACACTCCTGGTGGAACGACTCGGCCGGAAGTTACTGCTCCTGCTATCAGCCCTGGGTATTGCCTTTGGCCAGAGTGCCATGGGCACTACAGCTACTTAAAGTTACTGGAATATCCTGTGGAATCCTTCAGTTGGTTACCCGTTGTCGGTTTCTCTTTCATGATTTTAATGGCTGCTGCGGGATTGCTTACGCTGCCCTTCCTGGTGATATCGGAGATATTGCCACCCAAGATTAGGAGCACAGCGAGTATGATACTCATGTCGGTGTTATGGTTGATTTCCACCTGCACCATTAAGGTGAGTACTTCAAGTACAATTTAATTAAGAAATGTATTTTATTGAAAATCTTAATCTACAGATGATGCCCATATTCACTGCCTCTTTGGGAATGCATGGAACCGTCTATATGTTTGCCAGTTTCTCCTTCGCAGCCGCTCTTTTCATTGCCATATTTCTTCCAGAAACTAAGGGAAAGACGGTTGAAGCCATCTTAGCCAGTTTATAAATAGTATTAATATAATTATTTAAAATGACTTGTTATTATTGTCAATAAAATATACAAAAAAAAAACTGTTTTGATGGAAAAGATATGCCAATTCTAAGTATAAAGACATAGATGTCTTGATTGTTGCTTGGAAAAGTCTGACAACAATGAATTGTCTGTAAGAAAACCTTGATCTTCCTTCTCCTGTTATCGCCTTATGACAGATCTTTTTGACAATGAAAACTCTTTGATAAGATAAGATCTGTTGGGAAAATGTATTCTATAACACAATGGCAGATAACTGAAAGATTTAATGAATAGAAAAATGTAATAATTTTATTTTGCGAACCTCTAAGGGTATTCTATTTAGAAGTTTGAAATGCTAAAAAATATAAAATTCTATTCTTTCTATTTAGAAGTTTGCAATGCTAAAAAATATAAAATTTCTAATTCCAGCTCCTAATAAAATAGCAAATTTCAAAAGTATGTAAACTTTGCTTTCCCGGACTTCCTTATTATCTTAATGGTTTTTTTTCTCGATAAGTTATTCTTTAAATATATTTGACTAAACAATAGAACATAGCTGTCTTATTTTAAAAATTTGATCAAAATTAAATTAATATACTTTTTAAAAAAGCTCCACAAGGTTGCTGCTCATACTAACTGCTTTACATGGGCTAAACAATAATGAAAAAGAGTCTACTTCTAGGATATTCATTACCTTTTTGTAGCATGATTGAAATTTAACAACCTAAAACACCCTATCTAATCTTATCTTCTCTTTATGTCCAAAATATTATCTCGTGTACGCCCCTTTTTAAAGCCTAACTATTAAGATAATTTGCCAAGTGTCTGTCGCTAACAGAAATATTAAGATCAGACCCAGACCCAACTAATCTCTTTGTTTAGTGTGTTTAGTATATCGTTATTGAACAGTACAATAATGACAAATATATGTCGGAGATCTTTAAGGCGTCAGACTTCAATATTTGTTTCAATACCGACACTGATTTAATTTAGGAGCTTTAAATCACAGTGAAGTAGTCATTTCTGACCCTAAAAATCATATACTATATTCTTAATCAGCATTAACAGCTGAGTAAAACTGGTATAACAAGTTGTGATCGATTTAAGATTCAGCTCCTGATCCAATTCAAGCTGCAAGGATATTCGAACTTTGGCTACCCAAGAGATAGTTTTTCTTCTTATTAGGTAATAAAATATTTTTCCTGTGGTTGCATACAATTAGTTAATTAAGTGAATTATTATCATTTTCTGTCATTTACTAATAACTAATTACTAATTGCCTTTTAACCTGATTCCTATCGAAGAGCTATTAAGTTTAACTTAAATTAAATATTATATCATTCCATAGCCTTCTTTAAGGCAATAAAGAATAGGCTTTCCCTATATTATCTCCGTCTAGTCTTCACAAGCCAATTTATCGGATAATTTTCGACCTAATCCACTTAGACATCTGTTGAGTCTGGACCAACATTATAAAGCTATGTAAACATTGCTAAGAAGAGAAACAGACGAGCCCCTTTTTCTAACTCTCACGTGGAGATGGCATACGTTGAAATTATATGTTTAAATTGTGAAATATCTTTCCCGCCATAACAAGAAAATAAAAGATTAGACTAACCTAATATACCATAGGCTTTAGCTCCTCTTGGCAATCTTTACAATGTAATTTCTTACGTTTAACACACACTTTTGTGAGCTCACCAAATGCGACAAGAGAATTATATACAATTATATAGACAACAATGATGATATAGATATTGCGGACATAAAGTTTACGGCTGAATTTGTTCTCTAAGCTTATGGTTTCCCTCGGCTTGTCTGGGTTTCGGAAATTCGCGCTTTCCCATTTGTGGCCAGGTATTCGAGGCTAGCTGACATTCCCCTCCTTGTGGCGATGACAAAGTTCTTTCAGAATTCCCTGCTGCAGCACAAAACACGCTATCAGCTTTTGGCTACGGTTATTGGTGAGCTGAAATTAATATTAATTAAGCTTCAAGGCAATAAACAAGGCTATTTAATTATTCAGTTAACATCATAACTTTTGGCCATGGAGTGGGCGTTGGGTGGCTGTCCCCCACGTTGACCAAAATTCAACATCCCGACTCGCCGTTGGATTTGAAGTGAATCTTGCTGAAATATCCTGGCTGGGATCTATGTTGGGTTTGGGAAGTTTGTGTGGCAATTTGACCATCGCTCTGTTAATTGAACGAGCCGGCAGGAAATTCTGTCTGTATTTGATTGCAGTTCCCTATGCGGTATGAAAATCCCTCTAAAAATTACTTTAAACTCCTACAGTATGTGCATTTATTTTCCATGACAGTGCCTCTGGGTTTTGATTTACTGTGCATCGAATGTATACTTCCTATATGCGGCCAGATTTTTATGTGGATTTACTGGAGGAGCAGGATATGTGGTTGTGCCCATTTTCATCAGTGAAGTGGCCGACAGCAGGTGAGTTTTTTCCTAAAAAAACAAATGTGGTAAAATATTTACTTGCTAATTCTACAGCATTCGAGGAGCTCTCACTTCCATGGTGATGTTATCCGTTGATTTGGGAATACTGGCAGGTTATATAGTCAGCACTTATTGTCTTACCACGTCGTTCCCTTCTTGGGCATTATCTTTCCTGTGGCCTATTTTATTGCCAATTTAATGCTGCCAGAGACGGCGCCATATTTATTAAAGAGAAGTCAACTTAGTGCAGCCGAGAATTCTTATAGATACTATAGAAATCAGAGAGATGCGAGGAGTGAAGAAACTTCTAAATTAAACTTTGAGGAGCTTCGTTCTGCCGTTCTGGCTCAGCAGACAAAGAACTCTTCTCCACTGAGCTATAAGGATTTGAGTGAGTATAATACTTATTCATTGCTATTTGTATATCATATAATAATTTCTTTACTTTTCAGTTACCAAACCTGCCTTGAAAGGCTTTGCTGCCTCGTGTGTCCTGAGCTTGGGATATCAATTTAGTGGAGTTTTTAGCTTCATTAATTATATGTCGGATATATTCAAGGCATCTGGCTCGATTGTTGATGTCAACACTGGAACCATTATCATAGGAGTAGTACAAATCGTGGGAGTTTATACCTCCACCATATTGTGGACATTGTGGGAAGACGTCTCTTAATGTTACTCTCAACTTTTGGAGTGGGAATCGGATGCATTGCCTTTGGCTGCTTTACATACTTTGCACAACATCACGATCTCAGTGATTACAATTGGCTGCCTTTGGTCCTGATGATATTCATCTGTTACGTGGGTAATATTGGACTGATTGGAATCTTTTTCCTAGTGTTGGTGGAACTCTTTCCAGTAAAGGTAAGCTAGGAGTTCGAAGTATTGTTTCTTTTATATAAAACTCGATGATCTTTCAGATCCGCTCACTGGCCACTTCCATTTCTGTGATATTCCTGAGTATTTTGGTTTTTGGAACCCTGAAGTTATTCCCACTGATGATGCACTATTGGGGAATTTCGATTACCATGTGGTTCTCTGCCGGCTCAGCCTTGCTCACCTTCCTTTACTTCTGGCTATTTCTACAGGAAACCAAAGGGAAATCTATGATTGAGGATTAAGGAATAAATAAGTAGATACTGGGGAGCCTATATAAAATATTGATAAATATAAAAAAATGTATATTTCAGCAAGAAAAACGAAAAATTGATTAAAAAAAGAGAATTTCTTGAATCTTCTTTATTTCTTAAAGAGTTATAAAAAAAGGGATAAAAAAAATTAGAAACTGCGAACTTCGTTTTGAGAAATGGAGGAGTTTGCTCAAGGAAAATAAATTTAAAATTTTACTTAAAGAAAATATAATGGTTTGTTTTATTATTAAGTATACTGAAATTTGAAATACAAAGATCATGGCGTAAATTATCTTTACTCAAGGGAAACTGCGAACAAATTATGCGCCACTTTGTGATTTATAAAGATAACCAAATCAAGCTTGGGTTTCACTCATTATTAAACCGTAAACAATACAAATCAGCTGTTTTTTAGGAGTAATTAAAAGCTCCCCGGCACTTTAAGATTTACTTTATAACGTCTGAGGTCCAGGTGTCTAAATAACCGAATGAATATACTACACCAAAAAGGTGAAAAGTAATCGCTGTTTACATGACGAAAGTAAAAGACTAGAGCCTTCCTTTAGTGTAAATGAAATAATCTTATTTGCAAACTAGAAAATTGATTCTTATTTTATTTTCTCTTTTTTAGATGAACACCTTAAACTATACATCTGGTGAAATTACTCCGCCAAACTAAAGTCATTTATGTCTGTAAGAAATGTAAATATTTTAGTAAGCTTTGTGGGCTATCTGGTTTAGATAAACAACCAAAATGATACTTAAGTGAGAGCTCAGACGGCAGACGACATTATTGTTTAGTAGAGATTGCAAAATCATGACGTTTTTAGAGAATCCCAATTGTCTGCTGAGTCGCAGGAATCGCAATCAATTCCTGGTGACCCTCCTAGGTGAGGTCCTTAATAAGATTAAAACTATGATAGTTTTTACAAAGATTATCCTTTTTCCAGTGAATATTGCTCCCTTCGCCCATGGCCTGGCCATTGGTTGGATGTCACCGGTGATGCGGGATCTTATCACCGATCAGTCGCCCCTTGATTTTCCCGTTCTGGTGGAGGACGTCTCCTGGATAGGATCTCTGATTGGCATAGGCGCCATGATGGGCAACACGCTGGCCGGCACTTTGATGAATCGCATCGGACGAAAGCCGGTCATGATTGGCCTGGCATTACCCACATTGGTGAGACTAGCTTCCGGATAAGTAAAGAATTATATTTCACCAAATCCTTTGTATATTTTTTCAGATCTTTTGGAGTCTCGTTTATTTTGTCCAAAGTGTGGAATACTTGTATGTGGGTCGCCTGATGGCTGGACTTACAAATGGAGCCTTCTATGTTGTCCTTCCAACCTTCCTGAGCGAGATTGCGGATGATAAGTGAGTGCATTTAATTGAATTCTATGATTTAGAATGTGATGCAATATTGAATATTTATTCACAGCATTCGCGGTCGTCTTGGTTCCATGATCTCTTGACAGTAAACACTGGAGTCCTTACCGGATACATAGTATCTTCACATTTTAATTACTTTACGACTCCTCCTTTTATAATTGCCATACCCATTTGCTATATAGTAGCTAATTTCTTTTCCGGAAACCCCAATTCATCTGATACGAAAGGGAAAAATTCAGCAGGCCAAAGAATCGTTTCAGTTCTACAAAAATATTCGAAGAGATGATATCAAGGCTGAAAGTGAATTTGAGGACTTGAAGCTGAAGGTGCTGAAAGCGGAGGCTGAGAAGGCCAAGTCCTTCGATTACAGGGATTTCAGTGAGTGTGAATTAAGTTCAATTAAGTCTTTGCTTATTTACTATAAATATTAATTATCTATCTAGTTACGAAGCCCGCTTTCAAGGCCTATACCTCTGCCATTGTCCTGCTGATCTCGAATCAGTTCAGTGCCAGTTTCTGTGTCTCTTCCTATTTGTCAACCATTTTTGCTGCCTCAAACACTACCCTGAACATGACCATGTGCACCATTGTCATAGGATCTGTTCAGATTGTGGGCACCTATGCCACCACCTTGCTGTGCGATAAATATGGAAGAAGGATCCTCATGCTGGTCTCCTCCTCGGGTGCCGCCATTTGCCTAGCGATCTTTGGAAGCTATACGTACTTTGCCAAGATTTATGATCTAACAGCTCTCGGTTGGCTTCCCCTCGTGATCCTGGCATGCTACGTATTTCTATGCAATATAGGCTAGTAGGTTGTGTCTTTGTCCTATTGCTGGAATTCTTCCCAACTAAGGTGAGTTGTCCCTTATTTAAACCTGGATTTTCCTATATTTACTAAGTCTTTTGTTTCAGATTCGATCCGTTTGTGTGTCAGCTTTTATTGTGACATTAAGTGGAATGGTTTTCTTGGCCCTGAAAATCTTCCCCCTCTGTTTAGCTAATTGGGGCATTTCGGTGACTATGTGGTGCTGCAGTGTCAGTACGACTCTCTGCTTTTTTTACTTCTACTTCTTTTTGGTGGAAACTAAAGGCAAATCCTTGCTGGAAAATTAATTTTAACACTCAGCTAAGACTTTCTAAATGAATCGAGTTTTTAAATACTATTAAAACTGATTATTACTGAGAAAGATATTAGGCCAATATTTGTAAGATTTTAGGTGTTTAAATAAAAAATGTTGGAATTAATGTAGAAACCTAACTTTTTTACAACCTATATTATTTTAAGTAAGAAGTTTGAAAGAGTTATTATCACCCTATACCCTCGTAAACTATAAAAATTATTGATCAAAATGAACCACTAAGTCAATACAGCCATATTATGTAGAACAACAATTTTAAGAAATTTTCAATATTTGACAAGGTTTTATTAAATTTGCTAAGTTGTTGTGTAAAGCTAAGTTTTTCGAATATCATAACTAAGCCAAAATTCCAATATTTTCAAATCGAACAAATTTGATGTGCTAGTTTTATAGGCTTAACAAATTTTAAATTTTTTATTTACAATACCCTGCAAGGGTATAATAATATAATAATAATACAATATAATTTAGCAAAAGTTGCTGCCAAAGTCAGGGTCAGTTTTCAAATTTGAATAATAATGAACAATTTATAACTTAGTAAGGTGATTACTTTGAGTATGCATATGTAAATATCTTTAATACAAATTGAAGTATCAGTTTATATTAAAATTAACTAAATGGGGTGCATAACAATGAAAGGAATAAGGCCTGATCCCTAATATAGCATCTATATATACGATATAATTGTAATGATTAAGACTTACCCCAGTGGAGGACACATAGTTATCCGCTGTCGTCATGGTTTAATTCTTCCGGTGCAGTGAAGTGAGCTTCTTCCTCTTTGTCCAGATTAATTTCATAGGCCACGTCATCTTTATTAGGTCGAAGCTAATCACTTTCACAAAATGCACTATCACTGTCGATGTTACCTCCGCGGCCTCCCGGGACTGACTGATTCGCGCGCGACCCTAGTGCCTCTATTTATACTCTCCGAGCGAAGAGAATGTCAGAGAAAGTCAGAGCGAGAGCGCTAGAGAGAAAGAGGTACCTCTGGAGTAAGGCAGAGAGTACAGAGGGAAATAGGTATTGTTACCCTCCGCTGCCTCTCGCTCCGCTCCACTCTGACTCTTGTATTTGGTGGCACGCTGGCGGTTTGATCAAATCGGTTGTTAAGCTGATCAAGAATATATATTCTATACTCTATATAGCCGGAAGTGACTCCTTCACAGCATTGCAAATTTCTGACTTATATTATATATTCTAAAGGGGTATAGAAATATAGATTTAATATATAAATAATATATTATTATTTATATATTATTATATTAAAATTCTATTTAGATTTAATATTTTTTAATATATTTTAGGTTTCCTTACTTCGGTTTTCAAAGTTGCTTATTTTATCCTTCTACTTTAATACTTTATAAAATCTTTTGCAATATATATTTTTCTGCGTGCATCTAGACTGATTGTTGTAAAATCACCTTGGTCTTATCTGGCTAAGATAAACCGGTTTGAAGTTATTTAAAGGGAAGCTCTGGCGCTAGACGAAGCTCAGTCAGTTTGGAGAAAGCATCGCAGCCATGACGATGAAATTGCGATTAGCCTCGGTCTTTGCCAATCCCGACTGTCTGCTGGGCCGCAGGAATCGTCGTCAGTTTTTGGTCACCTTGCTGGGTAGGACATTCGCTTCCTGATTCCTGATTGGGTTGATAATGCTAAAAAGATCTAATCCAAATAGTAAACATTGCCACCTTTTCGCATGGCCTGGGCGTGGGTTGGATGTCGCCGGTGATGAGAGACCTTCAGACCGATCAATCGCCCCTCAATTTTCCCGTGCTGGTGGATGAGGTCTCCTGGATAGGATCCTCGTGGGCATTGGCAGTGTGATGGGCAATCTATTGGCCGGTTCCCTGCAGGATCGCATCGGAAGAAGCTGGTTTTGTTTGCCACCGCAGTTCCCAATACAGTGAGCGTGATGACTCTGCTTTTTTAATTTGCAAGAAACTATTTCACAAAATATCTTCTAGATCTTTTGGTTCCTGATTTACTTTGTCCAAAGTGTGGAGTTCCTTTATATTGGTCGTCTGATGGCAGGAATGACCGGTGGCGCCAGCTATGTCATTCTACCGACCTTCATCAGTGAAATTGCGGACACCAAGTGAGTAAATTGTAAGAAGCAAGCTGATGATAAACTTTATGGTTGTAATCTCCCACAGCGTAAGGGGTCGCCTTGGCTCTATGATCTTACTATCGGTGAACATGGGCGTTCTGGCGGGTTATATTGTGTCCACACATGTGAATTACTTTACAGCACCGCCTTTTATTATTGCTCTGCCCGTATGTTACTTCATCTGTAATTTCCTGTTTCCGGAAACGCCGCATCATCTCATCCGTAAGGGAAAAATCGAGCAGCCAAGAAGTCTTTATGTTCTACAAAAATATCAGGAAAGATGACATCAAGGCGGAGAGTGAATTTGAGGAATTGAGTATCTTGTGACCAAGGATCAGGCTGAGAAGGATAAGTCTTTTGATTACAAGATTTAGTGAGTTTTTCTCTTGGATTTTTAGAACATTTTAATTCTATTTTAATTTTAAACTTTAGTAACGAAGCCTGCCTTTAAGGCCTATGCCTCGGCTGCTGTCCTGCTCATCGCGAATCAATTCAGTGCCAGTTTCTGTGTCACTACATATTTATCGGATGTGTTTGCTGCCTCTCATACCACCCTGGATGTGGGCATGTGCACCATTGTCATTGGAGTCCTTCAGATTGTGGGAAATTATGCAACTACTTTGCTTTGTGACAAGTATGGACGAAGGATCCTCATGCTGACCTCCACTGGGGGAGCTTCTTTATGTCTGATTTCCTTTGGTTTCTACACTTATTATGCCCAGGAGTATGATCTCTTTCGGTGGGTTGGTTACCCCTACTGATCCTATCCTTTTATGTGTTCCTTTGCAACATTGGCATCGTTGGATGTATGTTTGTGGTTCTAGTGGAGCTGTTTCCCTCAAAGGTGGGTATTTCTCTTCCTAGAGATGGATATTTAAAGATTGTTTTCCTTTGCAGATACGATCGGTGGGAGCCTCTACCTTTGTGGTTATTCTAAGCAGCACCGTATTCTTAACCCTCAAATCTTTCCCTCTGCATGGCTGCCTGGGGCATCTCGGTGACCATGTGGAGCTGTAGTGTCATTACGTTCTGTAGCTTTCTATACTTCTTGTTCTTCTTGGAAGAGACTAAAGGCAAATCGCTACTGGAGGCTTAGTTTGTTTAACCGGAAAGATAATGGTTTTATCAAATTTGTCTCACCTAGGCGATTAGCCTAAGCCAGTTAGTTATCTTTATGGCGCTCCCCCGAGGATACATTACCGGCCAGATACTTAGCCCGAATTCAAGATGGAATGCCCTTTCAGTGACCAGAGATACTCCGCCAATGCAAGACTGAATAAAGATCAAGGCACTTTTTAAGTAGAATATTAATTGGACTTTTTTGAAACTTCTTTGGCGGGGACAAAATGCTGACTAGATTGTTTCAACGTCCAAATTGTCTGCTGAATCGCAGGAATCGATACCAGCTGCTAACGACGCTATTGAGTGAGTAGTTATGGGAGTGTAAAGGATATAGTTTCAGCAGGATAATACATGATTTCCTTGTTTGGTTAATCTCATATCCATATCCCATGGCATTGGCATTGGATGGCTCTCACCCACTTGAGGAAACTGCAATCCGACTCCCCAGTGGGTTTCGAGGTGAAGTCGGAATTCGAAGTCTCCTGGGTTGGTTCCATGCTCGGAGTGGGCTCGGTGACTGGCAATATCCTTATAGGATCCCTGCTCGGGCGACTGGGTAGCAAAAGATGTCTTTTGTTCATTGCCATTCCGCATTCGGTAATTTCTAAAAGACAACATTGAACAAAGGTAATTCTTTAGTAAAGTGTTTTCTGCTTTAGTGCCTGTGGATCCTGGTCTACTTTGCCCAGAGTGTGGAGTACTTGTATGTGGGCAGGCTTTTAGCTGGCATTTGCGGTGGCGGCATGTACATTGTTCATCCCATTTTTCTCAGTGAAATCGCAGATGCCAAGTAAGTGGATTAATATGAATAATGTGTGTTTTCTTGGCTTGTAAGAGATAAGATCAAACTGCTACGTCACTGAAAACGGCAGCTGGCGACAGGCCAAATACAAATAACTACAGTCATAACAGCCTATGCGTCACGAACAAGCATATTTCACAACTTAATACAATTCGTTTATTTGTTTATTATTATTTATGATTCTGTTTTACAGCATCCGTGGCACCTTCTCGGCCATGGTGATGTTATCGGTCAATGCTGGCGTTCTTGTGGGTTATATAATGGGCACTCACCTGTCGTACTACACGATACCCTGGATTGTCCTGGCTCTACCTTTATGCTACCTTATATCCGTATTGCTTTTCATTAAGGAATCACCCATGCATCTGATTAGAATTGGTAAAAATGCCGAAGCAGAGAGATCCTTCCGTTACTATAAAAACATCAAGGATAGCGATAATATTCATGATCAGAATCGTGCCATGGAGGAGTTTGAGGATATGAAAGTAGCCCTGAAAAAGGGAAATGGCTTGAATGAGAAGATTACGCTAAAGACTTTTGTGAGTAACAATTAAATATTTGAGTTAAGACTTAACTTACCTCTTGTATATTATTAATTTATTTTATTTTCAGGCTCACGTCCGCTTTAAAGGCTTATGGTCCCGCCTTGGTTTTGTTAATTGCCAATCAGTTCAGTGGACTCTTTACCATGGTCAATTACATGTCGGATATATTCGCCAAATCGGGCAGTAAAATGGATCCGGATACCTGCACCATCATCATTGGTGCTGTCCAGTTCATGGGTACTTATGTCACCACAGTGCTCTGCGACATCTGTGGCCGGAAGCTCCTGATGCTGGTGTCCACCGCTGGAGTGGCCATTAGCCTGACACCTTTGGGTTTTTCACCCAATATGCCCAGAGTCATGATGTCGGCGAATATAGTTGGGTGCCGCTCCTCCTCATGTCCATGGACATTTTCCTGGGCAACATTGGCCTCGTCGGTTGCTTCTTTGTCAGTCTCGTTGAGATATTCCCGTCAAGGTATGTGATTTAATTGAATTGATTTAAGCTGACATTAAGTCCTCATAAATGTCCATTCATTATTTTAGATACGTGCCAAGGCGGCCTCAATGGCAATTGTCATTTGCAGCAGCTTCGTCTTTGTTATGCTCAACATTTTCCCAATTTGCATGAAGGAATGGGGCATATCGGTTACCATGTGGTCATGTGCCGGAATTACAGCATTTAGTTTTATTTATTTCTCAATTTTCTTGAAGGAAACCAAGGGCAAGTCAATGTTGGATGATTAAATAAATAATAAATTTCAAAGAATATATTTACTTACCCTTGAACCCAAAATATCTTCAGATTTTAAACAAGTTACAACTATAGTGTTTATAGTATTTCAGCTTACATTTTCATGTATGTGTATGTATATTTAAATAAATTTAATTACATATAATTAGATAATATATAAACAAAAATACAATTTATGCCATTGGGTTATACATTCTGCTGGGCTCTTATTGTAATTTGTTTTCATTTTCATTTACTGATATTTCTTTACAATTTTCCGAACAGGCATCATTCACTGATTGCTGTCCCATTAAAACTAATTAAAAAACTAGCATACTAAATCACAGTGTTTTTTCTCAAGCGAAAAAAATTTGCAATATTCTACAAAAATTACTAGCTTTGTTTCATTATAAACATACAATCTACATATATATTTATAGAAGTGTGCAGGTGATGTGGGGATTGGGCTGATACTCGTATTTCTCTCTCATTTTTTGGAGGGGAAAGGACTTTAAAAGGTACATTAAAACATAATGCTTTGCTTTACTCTCGATCTCTGGTGTTTTTTGATATTGATAACATAAACGGCTAACAATTAAAAGACATAAAACAAAACAAGAATTTACGTTTACAAAATGCAACACAATAAACAGTTCCTATCGCACTGCCCTACCGCAAACCTCGAATAACACGGCTAAATACAATAATAATCATAATAATAATAATAATAGTAGGCGGTACGGTTAATTGTAATAATAATAATAATAATAATAATAGTAGGTAAACGTAAATGGTGTGGCTTGAAAGTAAATTGAATCACAAAATGGGCGCCATTTAGCAAGTTTGTTCAGTTGTAACGATTTTTAGCATTGGTTAGCATTAACTAATTACGTATCACTGGTTCGATGTCTGCTCAGATAGATATAGCTACACTATATGTATAGTAGCTATGGATATATCACGTCTTTTTCGGGCACCGCAGGTAACGCAATACCGCATATCCTAGGCACCGAAATACCAGAAAGAACATCATCAGTATCAGCGTATTCAGCCAGAGCGGTGATGTCGAGTTTTGAGCATTGAGTATTTCCTCATATGGAATGAATTCAGTTGATTGCTGTTTGCAAATCTCATAGCTACTGGGCGATCCACACCTGAAGGGGAATAAATTCATATTATTAGTAGAATGTAAATGTAATAGGTGTCTTTAGCCTCACCTTATAGCCGGACCCTCTCGAAACTCCAGTATCTGCATATTCTGATAGGCATAATGGATCATGGAGGTATATTGAATCCAACTGAGACCCTCCGGAATGCGGGACGACAGATAGCCACCAAAGAGCTGAGTGGCCAGGGTATATAAGGCACTCAGGGTGATGCTCACATTCATGTCCATGCAGCAGGCTCCTATAAAGAAACCCACACTCTGCGCCACAATAGTGTTGATCAGCAGGAAGATGAGCATCAGGAAGAAGAGCTTCAAGCTGGAAATTATACACAAATGATAAACTATTCAATTCTCGTGTCCAAGATCATACTCACCTAGTACAGCCCAGCATGGGATAGCTTATCATGAGGTAGACCGTGGGCAGAGTGATAACCAGTGGCAGTTCGGCACACATTTTGGCCAAATAATAGGCAGACAGTCGATAGGCCCCAGAGCGTCGTTCTTTGCTCACAACCTCACGCTCCGAGGGGACTACAAATATCAAATAATAATTTAATAAATTCCTATTATACTTAAATCTCAAATCCCTTACATGAATTTAAGGCTCCAAAGAGGGCAAAGAGCATCCAGTACGTCTGCGAGAAGAACATCCATCCCTGCAGGTCATGCAAGAACTCCTCGGTTCGTGGCAATTGAAACCAAATGGCACCGGCCATCAGGGCCAGTCCGATGGTCTGAAACCAATTCAGTTTGGAGAGCATTCGTGGCTTGGCCTCCTTGAAATTGCGGCTGGAGAGCACACAGAACTGGGTATGAAAACTGGTGGGATACGAGAGCCACTCATCATTGTCCCCGCCATGTTCTGCCCCACTGCCTGCACTATACGAGTGGCAATCACTGGACGCACAGGAGCTGAAATTGGACTGTGAATCGGCGGCGCACCAAACCAAATGCTGGGCGGCCTCTTCATCCTCCTCCACCTGGCAGCCACTATTTTGATTATGCAGATTCTCGTACTGATGATGGTGGTTATGATGATGGTGGTGATGCTGGTTATAGTAGTTGTTAATTATATCATCGATAAGGATGCTCTCCGACTGCTTTTTATCCTTCGCCTTCGACTCACTCTCCTGCTGATGGCGACTGCTGGTGATGCAATTGCGATTCAGGTAATTTCCATGCGATTCTCTGGCGGCAATGAAGAGCTTCTCACGGATATCAGGATGCGATTTTAATTGCTCCACTGGAAAAATATAAAACCATGGGTTGTGAGTATTAAAATTTACATTGGTCTACAGTAAATTCTACCTTTAATAGTTTGTTGCCAATAAAGGCTTCTAAATTATTATAAAGTACTTGTTAAAGGGGCTTAAAATAATGCATTCAATTTGTATGAAGCCGTTTTAAAGGAAGCTCTGCTTCTACGTAATTTAAAAGCAAGAATTTTGTATTTTTAGTTGCATTTAAAAGTGGCATACTTTCAGGCATCTAAAAACATGTAAAGCCAGAACATTAAATATATAAGATTTATCCACTAATCTCGCAGTTAAATATTCTTTTATCCAATCCTTACTTACACACCACACATCTAGTGCCTGATCATCCATGTCCGAAATGCTATATATTGTGCACATCTCCAAAGTAAGCAGTTCTTCCTTGATGAAGCAACAGCAACTTGTCGAACATGTGAAACATCTGCGACGAAGGCTGATGTACACTGATCACTATTGTCTTTTGCTCCAGTTGGGCGTAACGCTTCAGAACCTTCATCAGTGAAATGGCAGAGTGGCTGTCCAAACCGGAAGTGGGTTCCTGTCATAGAAATGTATTATTAAATTGTTAAGAAAGTAAAGTATGCTAATAACTTACATCCAAAAGCATAAGCAAAGGATTGGTAAGCAGCTCGCAGGCAATGTTGGCTCGCTTTTTTTCACCACCAGAGAGTCCTCGATTGAGGTAATCCCCAAATTTGGTCTGCTGACAGCAACCCAGCTCCAGGGCCTCCAGGATGTGATCCACTTTACGCATCTTCTCCGATCGCGGCATTGATTCCGGTAATCGCAAAAGCGCCGTATAAACCACAGTTTCACGTAGCGTTAATTGCGGAAAGAAGATCTCCTCCTGTAGAACATATCCAATCCTACGACGCCACTTCTTGGTCAAAGGTTCCCGATTGAGGAAGACACTGCCACTGTCAATGTGCCGCTGGCCACTGAGGCAGTCCAGCAAAGTGGTCTTGCCACTGCCCGAGGGTCCCATAATGGCCAAGACTTCGCAGGGGCTGTAGCATCAAAAAGGGAAGAAAAATTTCAGATGGTCAAGTCTTAGGCTTATTTAGATTAATGGATTACAGTGCTGCCAACTATTTTGTATTAAAAAATATATAATCATTTAAGTCTTATAATCTGTTCATTGTATTAAGTATTCCATTGGCAGCTCTGTTTTCTTGCATTTATTGTGTGCACTTGTGCTTATTTACTTTATGCTGGCTGATCTTGTTACCTGACAAATCCACTCACATCGGAAAGTATTTGCCTCTCGTTGTGCAAAACATTTAAATTCTGAAATGTCAGCTGCAATGTGTGCTGCTGCTGTGGGTGGTGATGTGGATGGGAGTTGCAGATGTTGCTGTTGTGATGCTGCTTCTGACGGTCCACTGAGGTCCTTTCAAAGTGGTAAGACAAGGATGCCGGTGAGCTATTGCAAAAAGATTAATAGTTTAAGTATATAAATAGAAGATACTTTCAAAAAATAACAAGAAGTGAAGTTTACTTCAAGAAGACGAATTTGTGTCTAGTTTTCAATGCTTTATATTTATTGATTAGATTTAATTGCTTAAATAGAATAAAATTACGTATACAACAAGTTCACTTACTTAGGCCAATACACATAAGTGTTTAGTGCCTACTAGAGTCTAACCATAAATTTGGTTAAAAAAACTATAAACATATGTAGTTCTTAATAAATAAATTAAAACTAAAATGCAGAAGGCTGCAAAAATCAATAAAAATACGGTTTAAAAGCCAACGTTTCAGCTTTAGATTTAATTGTACTTCAATTTGAATTTTGATATAATATTTTATTTGAATACATTAAATGGCAACAATAAACAAACATTGGCTTTCTTTTTATTTGAATTGAAACTAATGAATATTTATGTTTGATAAATCAAATTTTGGAAACTTAAACTACTGACAATAAATTAAAGGTACAAGTCAGTCTGCCTGAATTGGGCACCATTTTATTTTATTTATTTATTAAAACCTTTTGTTGTTATCCATGTGAAATCAAAACAAAACAAATTTAAAGTCAATGCACTTCACAGGCCTCTGGCAAAAGTAATATCAGTGCAACAAAAGTTCCCCCGATTTTTCCCCCTCCTTTTTCATTTTCCCGAGAATATATATACAATACAGTTACTGAGACCTCAGTCACAGTCACAGTCACAGTCACAGACGCAGTCGCAGTCTCACTGTCAACTGTTATCGCCGATATCACATGTGTGGCGGTCGCATTATCACTCACTTTGCACTCACACTCGCAGGCCCCAAAAGAGAGCCAGTTGTGAGGAAGGGAGTCAGAGTTCTGGGAGCCCTGGAGCTGTGCGTATTCTCTATTGATACCCTGTACTTGTGGGTAGTAGGAGTATATAGGTTTTAAGCTAATTTCATTATTATGCAAACTAATATAATTAATAATTAAAATATTATTAAAAGCAATATATTTTTGTGACTTCATAAGATGGGGAAAATAAGAATTTCTTTTTAGAAATTTAAATCTTTAAATCTTTTTGTTATTTTTTCAGCAGCAGAAAACTGATAATATTAACTCTCTCGTTAATATTTATATTACTTAATTAAATCTTCATCTAACTATTTTAATTAATTTATTTATTCTTAAAACTTATCAAATTACATTTTTTAATAAGAAAACTCTCGACTTCTTTTCACTTTGCTTTCTTTTGCCCTGCCGACGACTCTCGGTCAATGCTTCGACTTTACTCCCACTACCACTACCACACACATACAAGCACACACAGATACAAAACGCATACAGAAACACAAGACACACACACACACACACGGATTGGAGCCGGGAAGTCAATAGCCTCTTGCATGGGGGATTCTTCTCCATTCTGTTTGTGTACCTATCAAATTTTATTTAAATATTTTTCCCTTGGCCGTCATCATCCGTATAGACCGTAGATAAGGCCGTTATAGTTATAACATCTATTTTGGGATCTTGGGGGAAACATATACCATGGATTCAGCGCTTCAGCATCATCGTCAAATCAAAATTATTCGAAGAGCAACATTTTAATTTACAAATTATACAGAAATGTAAATTTTCTGTGGATCCGACGCTGTATAGGGTAGGCGCCGAAAGTAAATAGAGAGTCCGACGGCGGCACCGAGTGCATTGAACCGCACTCTCGGTGCGTGAGTGCGAGCGGGAGGCCAGAACGGTCAGAGGGAGAGAGGTAGAGGGAGCGGGAGCGGGAGAGATATGGGGGCCCAAGTGGGGGTCAATGCAGTCAGTCAGCGTCAGAGGAGAGCGACAAGAACAACAACAACAATAACAGTGGCAAACAAAGCCAATGCTCACACACAGATACAGATACACGCACACAGGCTGAGATACTTTGCATGCAGTGTATCTGATGAATACATTTTACTTTACAAGCGCTTCCAGCGGTGGCCAAGCTCATTACAATAGCCAATGTCCGGGTCTGATAGCCCCCAAAGTCTCACCAGGCATACGGCCATTCCCACACAAAATAAAAACAAATGAAAAATAACTTTAAAAATACTGTAAAGTTTAACAAAACCAAACATATTTTCCTATATTTTTGGTAATTGCACTGTTTACTTTAACTTAAAAACTGTGCATAACTTAAAACTTGTATTTTGTTCAACGTTTCATGAACTACGAGCAAAAGTTTTTACAATAAATTGTATCAAATGAAAATGTATGCATATATTAAATGTTAACTTTAATTTATAAGGTTTAGTATAGGAATATTTTGGTAAAACTTTTAAAACAAAATGAAAAATTCATTGAAATACATTGAAGATTTCCATTATTCCAAATTTGGAAGCAGTAATATGGCTATTTATTTATTTATTTTTTTTTTTGTACTTTTAATACTTTAGAGAATAGTACGAAATCAGAACACATCATAACATAATCAAGAAAATAATATAATATTTAATTAAAAATTTTCTATATTTCCAAGTCGAAGCAATGGAAAAAACATATTGAAGTTAACAAGCAAATCATAATATAAACTATTCAGATATGAATACGACTAGGAATGAAATAACATTTATTAGGAACAAGTAATGAGAAACATTAGTAAATGTAAGGATAAGTTTCTATAGTTTCTTCCTGAACTCTAAAATGATTTAAATAGATTCAAAATTAAATCAAGCAACTTGAATTTCTATTTCTATAGTATTTCAGGTTAAATTCTTTATATTTTCAATTTTGAACAACTTTTAAACCTTGATTAATATATTTAAATGCCAAATTTCATTCTATCTTCTAGTTCCCTGCTTTGTTTTCCTTTTTTTGCATTTACACTAAAGTCAAATACTTTCGCTCGTGAAACGCTCGATTGACGTAGATGCCAAAACAAAAAACCAGAAACTTCGACATCCCACAAAACTTTCCAAAAACCAAAATGTGCAACAAATATCGAGAGACTTCTGCAGAAAGACTATTCTCTGCCGAACACCTTCCCCCTTTTTGGAGCTTTGAATATTTACGAAATTCCACAATATTTAAGCTACCATATTTTTGGATTGACACAAGTTCAAACTTTGAATTCAATTAAAGGATTATTTTGCACTGAATAAGATTTGTGGTTACATGATATCCTCGAGGACATCTCACACAACTCCGTAAGCTTCTTTATGACAGCAGTTGATAGCTTCTGGGAAAACTATTTAAATTTCCTCAACGGCTTCTTTATGCCCCTTAAACTCTCTTTCAATTTCAAGAGTCACATTCGAGTGTTGCAGTGAAATTTATCCATGTGCCAAAGATCACGTAGACCAACTTGTCACTACCAACCATCGACGGTTTATTTTGAATTTGCCCTCAAGGAAAAATTCGATTGCATACACATCCAGTTTTTGATTGAAAAATGTAAGTCAAAGTATGAACTAAGTGCATTTCAGGCTTTTTGGTTTCATAACAGCTGCAGGAAAGGACATGAATTGATATGTTGACTTACTTGAACTCAAAAAGCCTTAATAAACAAACCATGAACATAAAACAATGTAATCAAAGCCATAGTAAAAGTCAATTATAAAATCAATCTAATAAATGTTAAAATCAATTAATCTGACAACGGTTTAAAGTCAAACGTTTAATTAAAGTTCTTTTGAATCGTAACAAATATTTGATTTTATTTATTTGGTTTCATGGTTTGATAGACCTTATAATTTTTTTTTCAAATCTCCATACTATTTGCAAAAAGGCAACACCCTTTAAGCCCTTAATTAACTACCAACATATCTCTCTCTCTCTCTGCAAAACTTTCGAAAAAAGCATCCCTCAAACTCATTAAATCCGGGCCCAGCTTCCTCGTAATTTACGTAATTAACCCAATCTGACCTCTTCCATTTTCGGGGCCAAGAAAGTCAGACAACTTACTGACCAAGTAACCGGCTAACAATTTACCTAACCCACGGCTATGATGCCATTTCTTTTGGCTCTTGATTAAGGCCAACAAAAAGAGAAACAAAAAACAACAAAAAAAAAAAAAAAAAACTAAATCTGAATTTGTTTGTGTTTTTATTTTTTGTTTCTTTATATATATATAATGTGTTTTTTTTTTTGTGTTTCTTCTCAGCTTGGCGTCGTCGCTTTCTTGGGGGAACTCTCCTCGAGGAACTGGAACTGGCTTCTTGAATACGCGAAAAGGTTATTGACTTTTACAACAAGCAAAACAGACCCCAAAAAAAACAACAACAAAATAATATAATTCACACACACGCAAAGTGAAAGAGATAGAGAGATAGAGAGAGAGAGAGAGAGAGAGATGAGAGGGGGATAAACGCAGAAATTACGTGAAAGTTTGGGATTGCATACAGCCACAATTCATACAAGTGTGTGCGTATACGCAATCAAAAGAAACATTTTTGAAATTCTTATCTCGTTTTTTGTCTTGTTTTTTAATATGGATGAAATTGTTATTGTTGTTGTTGTTGTTGGCTTTTGTGAATACATTGACCGATATTAAACAAGTTGCCAAATAAAACAGATGATCGCCCGTTTGTTTGTATATCGTTTATCGGAAGGGCTCCAAGAGTTCATTGACTTGGCTTTTGTTTTGCCTGCTTTTATTCTCTCTGTGTGAGTGTTGTGTTTCTGTGTGTGTGTGTTGTGTTTGTGTGCGTGTGTGTGTTAGCTGCCTTCATAATTTCAATATAAAAGATGAATAGAAAACAAAGTCATTTCGAAAGAATTGGGTCACCGAATTTGCGCAATTTATTTGATGTTCTGTTTAAATTTAAATTCGTAGCCGTATTTTGTAGTTTTTAGCAATGCCTTCATTGAACTTTTCGACAAAAATTCCGGAGGTTTTTTTTTTAATTTTGTTAGATTGTCGCGACATTGCCATTGTTTTTTGAGATACCCTGTACTTGCGGGTATATTGTAAAGCATTTAAAATGGCAATGTTTTGATAT